CATCATCATCATCATCATACTCCGACAGGCGGAGCTGCCGCCGGGTGTCATGAACATCATTTTCGGAGATGGACCTGACACTGGCTCGACTCTCGTGAAATCGCCACTTATTCGAGGTGTTTCCTTGACTGGAGGGAATCAAACGGCAATTCAGATTCGAAAGGACACTGCTAACGATCTTCATAAGCGCTTGTCTCTCGAGCTCCGGGGCATGAGTCCAACTCTGGTCTTTGCCGATGTCAATATCGACGAGGCAGCTTCCGTGGCAGCTTTCGCGGCGTTGGAGAATAGCGGACAACTCTGTCTTAGCGGCTCCCAAATCTATGTCCATCGATCGGTTTACAAGCTATTTCTCTCCAAGATTACTAAACTTGTCCTCAACACCTGCCGATTGGACAAGGAACTCGGTCCGGTTGTTTCTCCGGAACAATATGCCAAGATTCGATCTTACCTAGTGCAGGCTGAAGAAGAACATGCGACGCTGGAGGTTGGCCAGATCCCCAAGGAAGTTCCGACGGATGGATTCTGGGTCAATCCCACAGTCTTGAGCAACGAAAGCAACGAAATCATTGTGGGACGGGAGGACATCTGTGGACCGGTGGTGACTGTCTGTCCATTCGACAGGGAAGAGGAAGTGGTCAGGCTGTGCAACGACAATCCTAAAGTAATGGGAGCTGTTATTTTGACAGATGATCTATCCCGACAGAGACGAGTTGGACAGCAACTTGATGCAGGCTTGGTTTGGGGGGGCTGCTGGCTTGGACGTGAGCTCGGGGCTGGATTCACCGACATCCGGGCTACTGGCTCGGGGCTTGAAGGGGGCACACATAGTCGGGAGTTCTTCACACGTTTGCGAGCAGTGCACCTTCCGTCTTACTAGCCGATAAACGTGAGCAGGACCTGGATATGTCACGAAAGGAGATCCAGGCCCAAGGATGGAGGGGAGTGGGATCTCGGTCGAGGGTTGCTCTAGGGGAAACAGTGGTCTCTGTACATAGCAACCTTGGAGAATGTCGGGTTTTAGCAAAGACCAACAAAACCCGCAGTGTTTCAAACCAAGGTACTAGTATAGCGGCACCTCTGGACAAGTTGGCAAGCAAATTTCAAGTTCGAAGTAGTTTTCTCAAGATTTGGATGCCACCATCCCATGTTTTGCTCGAGAGTGCCCCGGAGAACAAAGGGTAAACCCTCTGAAGCCAATGCTAACTGGCAGTAGTCATTTCTCTTTTTCTCTGCTGTCGCGGATCCAGCCCAACTGTCCGTCAATTTTCTCTTCTCTGGATGAAGATAAAAGAAGCCTCTCAGCTTCTAGCAAACTTGATTCGCATCCCACACATTCTTGGTGATTTCCCCTTTCCATAGTTCTAGCAAAACTTCACTCGCTTGCCGTAAGACCGTGATGCGTTACGTGCCAGTGAGGTCTACTCCGGTGGCTCCCTCTCTCGTGGCTGCCAGCTATATTGCCCTGAGCGAAAATTGTAGCGCCATGTACATAGTCGTTGACGAGGCTGAACCTCTTTCCCAGGTTACCGATGACCACCAAGACGTCACCTTTAGCCCAGCTAGTGAAAACCAAACTCGATGTATACCAGACAGCTCATAAAATGGAAAATCTACAACATGTTCCTCCCCGATTGTCGATTTGGCGGAAGGGGCAAATGAAGAGAGTGTGATCTCCTCGCCCAGATTGCTGAGATGACTGTCAATATAAGTTCTCTAATGGAGAACTCGGTCACCATACGGCATATCGGGAGCAGCCAGTAGCTTTCCGGGTTGTTACTGGCACATCTATGTCAGCCTGTTGGTCTGCAGAAGTCACACCTCCCGTTCTGAGGCTTTAGAGAAGTGAAGTTTGTGAATTTTGTTCTCACCCGACATTCTGGGATGCGAAGATGAGATTTTGGTGTGCTAATCCTTATTCAGTCTGGTTTCTCGCCAAAAGACGACCTCCTTGACTTGATCTCCCCCTTTTTCGCTTTTTGGCTTATTACTAAATGTACATTGCACTTCATTTTCTCTATTCATGGACGCCTACATCTCCCCGATCAGGAAAGGAGTTTTCTAAAATCAAATTGTTAGAATTGTCCATCGGCATTAGTTGGCTATGGCTCTCATAGTTAATGTGTAGATTCTTGCTACTGGAGGTTAACGTATTACCATATCAAGTAGCTTATAATCACCTTGTTCTAACAAAGCAATCTTTGATTCCCTTTGTCTTGCCTCGAGCTGTTTGGGGATGCATTTTCGTGCTCTGTCACGCCTCTTTCATTATTCTCTTTGCGCTAAATTGCCTTTGTCCTCTCCATCATCATGGCTTGCGAGACTCTTTAATATGCTATTTCCGTTGAGGAATTGTTTCGTTCTGCTTTGAATGCCTTCATCCAGCACAAAGTGAAGACTTATTCATCAGGACTATATAACTATTGGGTTTCTCAACTCCTCATTAGAAGCATTAATTCGAGATCAGATCTTTCAAATCATATTCAACGACTACTCCCAAAGTTCTTCTCCCTTTCAACCCAACACAAGAAACATCAAGGCTCGCATGCTAAATGGTAAATAAAGACTCAGCAGGGCTACGCAAACGTAGGCTCAGCGATGACGGCGACGGGGGCTCTTCTCGCTCCCCAACCCGGCGGCGTCTGACCTCTAGAACCGCAGAACCATCAGTTTCCCCTCCCCCATATCCCATTCTAGATGACAACAGTTTACACAATGGTGGAAAGTCATTCTCTACGCCCGAAGGGGTTTCCAGTGTCGATATACCCCCGATGTCAGAAACCCAAGTCCGCGAGTATCACCGAATGGGAAGTGCATACCAAGCATGGATTGCCGACCCAACTCTCGGCGGATGCCCATGTGGGAAATCAGAAGAGACCTTGTTCGACTTGTTCAATGCCAGCGATAAGAGGAAGCGATTTACTTGTCCAGAGAACCATTTCACCGACCCACCCCGACACATTCAGGAGGATTTGGAAGAATTGGGACTCCCCAGGGCAGGTAAAAGGTATCGCTTCACACGACTTGTGCACCACTGGTGGGACAAGGATGGCTACAAAAAGGAAAACGAGTATCAACATTCCATTACAAAGAGCGTTCTAATTGGTGAAAGCATTTACAGACACACGGGGCCTCATTGGTCCGATGTCGCCATCGCTCAATACAAATTCGACTACTCCATCGACACTCTTGGATACCTTTATTTCACTAACATTCAGAATGAGGAAACCCTGCCCTACGTGCAAGAAATCCTCTATCCGAGATATGACGTGAGTTGGCCCCGGGCTGATCGAATTGAGAGTCACGTATGGGAGTGCGGGACCGAGGAGTATCGGGAGATCCTAGGTACAAAGCTGGGAAAGGCAGCGGCCTGCCTTGTGCTAGGTGCCTGGGAGAGAGGTACACATCATATCGCTAGAGTTCACACTCTCGGCCGTATGTACCAGATACATCTACGGTTTGACATTGAGCCACTCCCAACGTCGCTCACTACTTGATCTACTACATGGATTTAGATGGGTAGACTCGTATGGTTTTTTGTAGATAGTCCACTCACTAGGTGACTCTCGGTAATTTCTAAACTGATCGTTTGATGTAGAGGTGTTCAGGGAATGCCGACAACAATATATGACGGATCATGGTCCACATGTAGAAAGGGTTTTTTGCAATTGTACTAGATGGCTTTCACATTTCCCTCTCAAATTCTGTGATTTTCCAGCAGAAGAGAATGCAAAAACTATATAGAGACGGCTGATGGGCTTCATTGAATTGAAATCACCTTTTCTTAGTTTCTATCCACGGTTGTTGTTGATCGCATCAGCCTAAACAAGAGTCTTGATGCTAAATAAATTGTTGGTCCGGGTCCTTCGGATCTGCTGCAGTTTTGTACTCCCCGATTTTTCCTTGTGGTAGATGCTCCGGTTCACAAATTCTCTTTTCTATTTAGTCTTGGTTCATGCGCGATCTCTACTTGATATCTCTCCGTCTTCTACATTGAACATGATATTGAATATTATGGTACAACTATGGTCTTGTTAGCTAAGGAATGCCAATGGACAAATGATGGGGGTTTTAACCATTATGCTGCAGTTGATCCCAGTTGATGCCGACACTGTATGATATTATGAAATTGGGATAATCCTGGCGATTGAAAACTTTCTATACTCCACGGTAAGGATTTTAAACTAGGTATGCCTACCTTCTTGCACTTTATTCGCCGGTGGAGGATTTTCTAAATGTTGTCCTTCGTCCTTGTATTTTGTCTTGGCGCACAGATATAAAAAAGCGCACAACCACCCCGTTTTAAACCTGCTTCGCGGTCAACTCAATTCAGATTCTTAGGGTTGATGCATTCAATCTTCTATCATGCTCGTCTCCAGTGTCATAGCCTTAGCTCTGGGATTCGGCCCTATGATGGCTTTTGGGCAGACTGATATTTCCACAAAGCCCCGTATCTATACAAACCAGGCCTTCTGGGCTCATAATCAGGAACTCCCACTTGATGGCTCCTGTCAAGCTCTTGACCGAAGCTAGTAAGTTTGCCTCCTTTTGAACCTATAAGCGACACTAACTTTTTCTATTAATCGCAATGTTGGATCGGTATATATTCCGTGCGAGGCAGCATCAGGCAAAAAGAATATCTGCACGCTTTACAGGTAGGTACCCGCTGTCTTCTACTATCATATGACGGATCCTAATCATTTGATCCAGTGACAAAAGATGTGAAACTGAAATAGTTGCTTTTGATCGCTCGCATTCTGCCCTGTTTGAGGCATCTAGATCAGACAGGGGCCCCATAGCCTATGTCGGAGGTCTCGTGGAGAGCATCAAGTGCCAAGTCGTTGATGGTGGTTACTCAGTGTCAAACACGAACGGCCATATCTCAACCAAGTCTCAACACAAGTGTCCGGGTGACTCCTGTTCATCAAATGAGGAGTGCTATTTGCCTACAGAGCAAAGAACATGTAGTTCAAGCAGATGCCAACGAACCTGACTGGCTTTATCTAAGAAGGCCTGGATTGGCTGGTTTGGGCTGGTCTACGGATAATCATCGGCTTATTGGAATTCCGGGATATGTTATGTACGGGTCATGGCATGGTGGATATGACTTATTTTAAGATTCAATACGCAGAAGGGGATGATGTTAGTGGCATGAAGTTGGATACTATCTACAGTGATTCCTGGGCCTCAGTATCAAAAGGGTTGAGGTTGTGGTAGGGGGAAAATTGGAATCTGTCGAACTACATCTGCTCTTTATTTTTCTCACTGCTAAAATGGAATTCACCACACGAAAGACCGAGATTGATCGAAAGTGACGGAGGGCACCCAGTTGGGGATGGATACTGGATTCTATAATCCACCCACTTTTCTTTATCAAGGCATACCACACTAAACTGCACCCGAAATCTATACATCACCAATACTATAAGATATATCTTATGACAGAGGTTATAAACATCAATTTAACTCACAAAGGTAGAAAGATCGACAATCACTCCACCTGGCCGAAGAAAGATCGAAAAGAGGAAAGAGAGTCCTCAGACCTGAGACTCTGACTCTAACCCTTGAAAGATCTACAGTCCATCTTTAAACCTCCTTTTTTTCCTTTTGCTCAAATGGTCCCTGTCCCGCACCTAAAAGATGCACCTCTTACTCATTAACATCCTCTCCCCCTGGATAATAGCTTACGTGTGCGCAAGGAAATTCAATTGTCGGAAGAAAGTCATTTTCAAAACACAAGGCCGGGGCACTAAAGTCTATCTCGACCAGAATTCTGCCGAGTACACCCCGTTGATCCATTCCACAGTCAATGCCAATGGAAACCCCGGAAGACCCACTGCATAACCTTGTCCCGCCGGACTTCAATGGAGTGTTGAGAGGCTAACTATGTGACATACCTACGAGCGCCTCCTGTGGTGAAGAGACAGAGGACAATGCGGTCGCCGATTCCCAACCGCCAGCGAACGGGGCTATAGATCATGAGTTCGACTGCATCGAGCCTGAAGTGTACTTTGGCTGTGAAGGAAGCACGAGCATTGATGTTGACTGCGTTTTCATCAATCTTGCGACGAACAAGTCATACATTCAATGTATCAACCAAGTTGCATATTTTGTTCCATACGGATCAGGAACTGCCTACAGGGATGACACTAACGTTTGCGGAGAAGGAATAGGGGAGGGGGGTTGGTTGCGAGCGTTTGGAATGAGATGCAGTGAATCGAGGATCGGGCATCAGAAAATTGCGACTTCTGAATTTGCAGCACGCCTGATGAGCATTACAAATCTGGATGGCCCTTGGTCTGAAGACCATTTTGCGCCTTGTCGTCCAATACTTCCAAACGTAGCAGAAATCACTTTGTTATTATCATCTGACGGTTTTTGCAATCAACTAAATCCGCTTAATTATCTATCTAGCTCACTCACTGGGTATGAAGTTTCATCTGAGGCATCACCATCTTGCCGGCTTGGAAGAGACGAAAGCGAGGTTTTGGAGGAAAGAGACGCCCATGATGGCGACCTGATTGGGAGGTTCAAGCCAAGCCCTTGGACACCCGCGGAACCGAATCGGGGGGTCGAGCCAGGGAACGCGCCTTTCGCAGAAGACTGGGAGTTGGACCGCAGACCAACTCGAGAAATTGCGCGCCGAAGCATCTCGCCTGAAGCGTCCAGGGCAATAAGGAAGCGGGCAAGCTCAGCACACAGCTCCCAGTCTCCTTTCTGGGAGGCTAGAGCAATCAAACGAACGACGTATTCTTCAATACGGCCATTATGACCTTTCTCTTCGTCCTCAAAAGCTTGCAGCACAAGGAGATATCCAACTGCAGTTTTGAGAGAGTCAAGTTTCAAGGCCTGCTCAAATAGGTCCTTGGGTGGAGGTAGGTAGGTGAACAGTGTGCGCCATGATCGAAGTTCGGTTTTGCGTGTGCATTGGACAACAATCTCAAGGTAGTCCCTAGGTGGAAGCGAGGCTTGGAGGAAGGCAATGACAGTCGGGAGTAGTGGTTCTGCCCGTGCTTGTGGATCCTCACTTTTATTCGCTCGGCTCTCATTGTCGACTTCGTCGTCCAGTACGTGGTGAAGTAGGATTTCCAATCCATGAGCGAAGTAAGACAAATGAGAGAAGTGACGGCATAGAGCAAGAGCCGCAGGTGTTCCAACATTGGCCAGGCCATATTGAAGGAAATATGGTAAGAAAAGGTGTGTCTGAGGCGCACCTATCAGTACAAAATTTTACCGATCAAGAAATTGACTTACCCGGATGGCGAATTTCAGAACAGTGAATGTCACATCACGTCGTTGCACCATTTCCGATTCAACGCCGAGCACAATGCCTTTGTTCAATAAAACGGACAGAGGATAAAAGTCCAAGGGGATATTTAGTGGTGCCGGCATCATCTCTTCTCGCAAAACATCTTGAACATCATTCCAAGCTAGCAAGTTTTGGCCACGGAACATCCAAAGAGAATCCTGGAGCGAGAGACTGCTGTGAGGTGGCTCTAGTGCCACATTAACCGAAGGACTGGAGGGTAGAGATTCGTCAACCTGCGAGTAGAAGTTGAAGGACATCTGGTCGCGCATTAAGATGTAATACTCGACATCATGGGATACGATACGCATGTCATATCTGAGATCGCCCGCATCCGAGACCGTGGGCTGCAGTAATACCAAATTGCCATCCACAAGAAGAATCACGGATGCGACCTTCACATCTTGAGAGGGATCACCGTTTCCTACTGTTGTGTCAGTGATGTGCTCAGATAACTGGATAAAGAAAGGCTAACTCACGCATCTGCTCTTCGGGCAATACCCAGCTAATCGATCGGACGCGGGAGGGTGCTCGGACAATTCCATTGAATGCGATTTGTCCAACAGGGACAAGAGTGATCTGAGGTTGTGTCGAATTAATGATATAGTGGTACAGAATGTTATCGTATGTATAAACCAAAAGAGAATCTTCCCCAGAGGGTCCAACGAATACAACTGGTGATGGGAGGTATTCGATGAACATAATCGAATTGTTACCGAGAGAAGCCTCGCGCGAATAAAGACGAATCTTTCAATCCGTATCAGTCAAGCATAGAAACAACGCAGACGGGAGAGATCTCGTACCTCATATGACCCGTCACTCTCTACCGCTGCGATCAGTATGTGACCGTACCAGCACATGCCGCCTCGCACGGCAAAAGAGTTTTCGGCTTTTGAATCCTCAAATACCTTCCATCGGCCACTGTTGACACTGTAATGTGCAAGGCCACGCCGACCTGCAATTGCAACATACCGTCCATCCTGGGACACGACGCAAGATCGAATCGGCCACTGTGAATGAAGATACGCCGGAGGATACTGGGCATGATGCCACAATGAATCCTTTCCTGAGATTGTCATGAGATCTGGAAGATCGTGACCGCGGTAGAGGATAAACTCAGTACCGGTTTGCAGTAGGCCTCTAGCCAAGTTTGCAGCCGAAAAACAACCAGTCAAAGCACTCCGAGCCGTCTCCAGAACCCACAAGCGACGATCTTTTAGTCCAGACAGAATGATGTCGGAACCGCCACCAATCCAACACCCGTCTGACACCCCAGTTAGCCAATCCTCGGAATTAGCCGTCGCCAACGCGGTGTCCACAGAAAAGCTGTTTCCTCCAGGCTTCCCAAAGACACTCCATGTTGTCCAGCCATTTTCGAAGCCAGCAAAAAGACAATATCCATCTGGGGAATAGCTCATGAAAGTCAAAGCCCCGGTTGTTGTGGGCGATGCTGGTAGATGGAGCTTTTGGGAAAGCGAAATGTTGCCCATGTAATCTTTTGCAGTGTAAACCAATACATCACCATTTGAACAACTCACAGTCAACAGAGAGAAGCGTGCATTTACGGTCACCTTCACAGCCATTTCGCTATTATCCTTTGGATTATGAAAGCAATGTCCGTGGAAAAGTTTCTTGGCCGCTTCAGAATCCTGTTGCAACCCTGAATCTCGTTGCACGGCATATGCCCGGCCACTGCTGGTAATCCAGATAAGAAGATTCATCGCGCGGTCATAAACCATATCCACGATAGAGACCTTCTTCGATATCCCTAGGATCCGACTCAATAGCTCCGATGTGGTCTGTGCTTCCCCCGCCTCGGGTGTCCACCTGATGCATTGTATAGCCGGGGGTTTCACAGTAGCGACGACAAGTTCTTGATCTAGCGCCAGCGCCTTGGCAATTCCCGACTCGATCTTGATGGCCATTCGGAAGCGGATGGTGATGTCTCCAACCACATTGGCCTCTTCGACTGCTGAAAAGCGGGCCAATTGTTGACGACGAGGGTGTGTAGAGTGATCAAAACGTTGCTGGTAGACTTGACTTGTTGAATCCGACATCACCGAGTATGTGAGTAGGTACCCATTGAGAGTCTGTACAACGAGGATCGTTGAATCTGGGTGTATAAGGAGTGAAACATTCGAACCGTATGTTTTTAACGAAGACTGAGATCGAGATATCGCTGTTACTACTGCTGTAGGCTGCCAGAATTGTCAGTCACCAACTCAGACGTTCCGGTGGACTTAACATGACTGTTGACATACCCGAGTCTGCCAAAGAGCGATTGATGACTCTGACATTGTGGCAAACATCTGACCGGATCGAGAAACACAAATATCTTTAATAGTTTCATCCCCCCATTCTGATTCGCCAGTGTCCGGGGACGAGATGGTTTGCGACTCATGGAGTTGGGTGTCTGTGGACTCATGTTGACCGTCGTCCACTCCTTCCGCATTCCTGTCAAATATGTTGCGGCCATTGGTTGGATTATTATTCAGGACTTCGCGATCCTCGTCAGAAGAGGTATAGGCAATATCGGGTCCATTGACCGCGTAGACCCTGGGAACTCCATGAGGCCAGTACATGGCTCAGGTCAGGTTCAGGGATTAAGATGGACAATGAAGCTCACATGGAGTCATCTCCAAGGAACCTATTCTCTGTCAGCAACGCAGACAAGAACCTCCAACGCACAAATTCAAATGTCCAAAAAAATAAAGTCCAAACAACTTGGATGGAAACAGACCGGGGAAACGATAAGCTACGATCACGTGAAATAGCTCTTCCCCCGCATTGCCTCACCTAGTTTTTTTCTACCATCTCGGTCACTCCAGAACGCTGTTTATCTTTCGTTCGCATTATTAATTGAAATTTTGCTATAATGGTAAGATCGCCACCTGTTGCGAACGATTCATGGTACTTATTCATGGCAGGCTCCCACAGAAAGCAACAAGCGCTTGGCCCTGGCCATCATTGATTTCCTAGGCTCCAGCCTGAAAGATGGCACCCTCACTGCCGACGATGCCGAGTCAATTGAAATCGCCCAGTCATGTATCGCGGATACCTTCAAAGTTGACCCTACCAATGAGGCCGCTCTGAAGGATGCCGTGGGTGGTCAATCATTGGCCGGAATTTACAGCGTCTACGAGAAGCTGCGCAACAAGTCGACCCCGCAATCGACCGCAGGAGCTCAGACTTCCCAAGAGGAAAAGCCAAAGGCGGGTGTCCCCACACCGGAATCTGATAAGCTAAAGTCCGAGGGCAATGCTCTTATGGCCAAGAAGGATTACGCCGCTGCCATTGAACAATACACCAAGGCTCTCGAGATTGCCCCGGCCAACCCCATCTATCTCTCCAACCGTGCCGCCGCGTTTTCCGCTTCAGGCCAGCATGAGAAGGCCGCGACTGATGCAGAGGTTGCCGTTGCTGCCGATCCCAAGTACTCTAAGGCGTGGAGCCGTTTGGGTCTCGCTCGCTTCGATATGGGGGATTACCATGCCGCTAAGGAGGCATACGAGAAGGGTATTGAGGCTGAAGGCAACGGTGGCAGTGATGCCATGAAGCGTGGATTGGAGACATCGACACGAAAGCTTGAGGAGACTGCCCGGACCACTGAGCCTCCCTCTGAGGAACTGGACACAGCTCCTGGTGCCTCACGTGGTGGTGGCGGTGGCATGCCTGACCTGTCCTCCCTCGCCAGCATGTTTGGTGGTGGTGGTGCCGGTGGTGGTGGTGGTATGCCTGACCTGAGCTCCCTGATGAGCAACCCCATGTTCTCCAGCATGGCACAGAATCTCATGAGCAACCCTGATATGCTCAGCAACCTCATGAGCAACCCCCGCCTGCGCCAGATGGCCGAAAATTTTGGCCAGGGTGGCGGCATGCCTGACATGTCCAGCCTGATGAGCGATCCCAGCCTCGCTGATATGTAAGTCGATGAAATATCAGGGCCTCAGAAATCACATTACTGACAACTCACAGGGCTCGTAACATGATGGGCGGTGGTGGCGCTGGTGCTGGTGCTGGAGGCCGGAAGTAAATTTTTGGTTCGATGGTTCATCCCATGAAATTGAAAGACGCAATCTGATATACCTTGTCGCAAATTCACTTTTCAAAGCGTTTCTTAGAAAGAAATACTTCCCTTCCTCTTGGACATGTCCACGGGTAGATAACTATACATCTTGATCGCCATCTTTACCTCGGTGGAATGTAGAAAGCATATCCTAGAGATTACTTAGTTGTTTTTGATGCAAGCATCGGCATCCGTCTCGTAGCTCTGGGTGTCTGCGTTCCCGTCCTTGTGGTTTCCATGCGCATATTCTCTCAGTCTATCCCGTCACTGGTCGCCATGACGTTTCAACGTTTGCATGATGCCTTTGAAGGTCGACTTTGCGTTAAGGTGTTTAACACCTGTTTTTTTGGGCTACCTGGCTAATACCTGACCTCGTTTGGAGCCGGTAGAGGACTAGTTCGTTCAATATACTACAGTTTTTCTTCATTCACCTCTCGATTGCCCGGATATTTATAAATAGCTATACCGACCCCATAATCCTACAGATCTCATCGCACTCACTACACATGCGAATCCCGGCCACAATGTATCAATTTTTCAATCTATCATCGAGGCCGGGAAAGATTTCTTCTGTTCCTAGCGGGGTTTATCAAATCCTTTCCCCAAAATCCAAGACGTGGGACGCTAAAATAAATTTCTGCGTTCTTGTAGTGTTCGATTCTTCTACTGAACAAGGTTGTCTAAACCTGCTAGTAGCCATTTTTACATTCTTTGTTTTAGCCCTTTCCGCTGCTTTATCTCAAAATTAGCCAGAGGAATACCTCCTGGCGAACAGTTACTTTCTCGAATCCGGTGACGCGCTTGGATCTTATCTTTGTTCGAGTTGCTACTTTCACTACGGAAACTATAGCCAGCTAACATGCAAAGCGTTTGGTGGGCTTCACTGCGCTTAAAGATACCGTCAACGGTGGATTGTCAATGAACATTGCTGTCTGTAGCAAAGACTTCGGCCTCCAGAAGAGTGACAAAATTCTGAGCGGAGGTGCCCCTGAAATATTTTTATCTCAGGTGGTTTAGTCCAAGTCATCTTGGACGTTTGCCCACATTTTAGATATTCTTTAGAAAACCACAATGCGTATCGAAAAGTTGTCAAGACCAAAAAATTGTTTATATTTACACGATTTTCAAGGATCCTCACATGCTGGTGGCCAATGAAGGCCCAGACAGAAACCAAAACCAACAACCCAATGCATTCATACACGGTGGCGAGGGGAGAGTGGAAACAAAATGCACAAAGACGCCAGTAGAACACCTCAAGGCCCAGAGAATTGCCATCAGATAAAATCCAAAGTGCCCTAGTCTATGGGAAGGAACATTCAGATTTGAGTGGACTGAGTTGTGAATCCTCAAGAGTAAGACTTGAGGCAAGATGTCAGACCAAATGAAGCAAGCATTAAGACATGAAGAAAACGAAATCCAATTGACCAGAGAAGGTCCAAATTGGCAGTCACTGGAACAGGCATAACCGTAACAGGCGCCAGGATCCACCTGGCTTAATATCAAACAGTTGTATTGTACAATTGGAAGGGGTGGAGTGGAAGTGAAGATGCAGGAGGGGATGGGATCCACGAGGGAATGTGCCGACAATAAGGTAGAGGAAAATGTGGCTTTGTAGAACGGAGAGACACGAGATTTCGATTTTAGATGTAGTCACGGGCGGCCTTCTGCAGCTCAATCAATCTCCAGCCGCGAGTTTCTGGGTTGTTGACTTCATCGGGAATACGAGTCAATCCGATAGCGTAGGTGACCAGCTGCACTTTGTCATCCGTACCAGCGGCTAGCTCACCGGTCTTGATCTTACGGTAGACGTGAATCTCCTGTGTCCGACAAGTGACAACAAACACCGGGATGTCACCGGGGTCCAAGATACGGGCGTGAGAAATATCTACACCACGAATATCCAAAATGCGACCATCCGACTTAAGTCCGGCTGTGGTGTATTGCTTAGCGAGAGCAGCGTAGACGTGGAACTGAGCGTCGGAAAGCCAGAGCTTGAGTGTCTCAATATCTCCCTTGACATAAGCGTCTAAGACTTCTGGCAACATGTAATCACGCATTTCGCGCAGGAAAGGTTCCATTTGGAAATTGGGGTCGATCTCCCGGAACTTCTTGATGACCATGGCGGTCTCGTTCTCGGCGAAGAAGCCAGCGACGCGATCGGAGATGCTGCGTGCTGTGCTGATCAGGGGGTTCTCGGACTCGTTGTAGTTCTCCTTGATGGCGAAGAGCTTCTGCATCACGGGGTTGGAGTCCTTGAAGTCTTTCCAGGAGTCTTTCCAAGCGGAATCTTTGTGGAGAGTGATGTTGGTACCGGCGCTTAGAGATAGGTCAGTCGGGGATGCCAGAACCGAGGCCTTGTAATCATGGAAACTTACTTAGGATCTTCAACTCGCTCCTCAACGCGAAGGGACTTTCCGGCCTTAAGCTCCTGCTCCTCTCGACGCTGCCGCTGCTTGCGACGTTCCTCCTTCTCGACCCAACCACCGTAGCGTGAGCTGCTGCCATCATCAATGGCATCCTTCACACTCTTGTATGCTTCGGTTTCCCGAACGGGTCTCGTGGCCTTCTCAAGGCTCTCTCCGGTTGCATTTACACCCTTTCGGACGCCCTTCACAACGCTGGTGTTCCATGTCCAAGCAGCTCCCTTTCCGATGACTTCACCGGTGGCCTTGAAGGCCGTGGAGGTTTTGGAAGTCGTGGCGTTTGACGCAGCCTCGTAAGCAGCGCGCGCACGTCTGACACTCTCATTCTCAGTGAACTGGTGAGCTGAGGATGCCAGCGCTTTGGTTGATTCCTCCCATTCCTTGGAGGCCTTGAACTCGGTCTGCAGAGTCTCCCGGAATACCTGCCAAGGAGACTTGTCTCCGTGGGGTGGTGGGGGAGCTTTCTCTTCCTCCTTCTCTTTTTTCTCCTTCTTAGACTCCTCGTCCTCGTCCTGCTTTCCTTCATGCTGGTTTTGCTGTTTCTGCTGCTGCTGTTGACAAAGGGAAGATGCGGCGTAGAAAGAGCGCTTCAACGGGAGAGCGGCGAACGGTGAGACAAGTTGAGAAACGGGGTGGGAAGTAGATTGAAGAATAACTCGGTGGCTCTTAGCGGAGTGCGTAAATGGTTGAGCTGAGACAGTCAAACATGATCCGGCGCGAGACAACCGCTGAGATGATGCTCTGAGAGACGGTGTCTGTGACCGCAAGGAAGCGGCTCGTGCGGCATACATCTTGGCCGGAATCATGCTCTGGAGCGTTGAGAGGATAGGAGAACAAAAGAAATTAATTATGAGGGTAGAGGAAAGATGGAATCCAGCCCAGCCTGGACGCGATATGTAGAGGTGATGGGGAGAGGCAAAGATCTCGGGGAAGGGAAAAAGTGCAGATGCCAAGACTTCGAAAAACTTCCAGCTTTCCCTTCGGTCCGGCAACGGCTTTGCATCACACGCGCTTTGTGGTTCATCTCGGTACTTTGCGTTGTGATTTGTGTTCAATTGATCACTTGCCTATAACATACTGCTGTTTCCCTCATTTGAAATTCCTCCTTTGTCGCTGAAAATCCTGGTCACCATGATGAGCTCCTTTTCGATGAGCAAGTTGGCCAAGGCATTGCCCTCAGTTTGCCGCCAATCTCAGCCTCGAATCTCCTCTTTGAGCATCACACGTCCCTTCTCTCACCAAAGCACGACTTCTGCGCGTAATGACAGTAGCGACATTGAGAAACAGATGTTGACTAGAGAACCCGAGTCATCTTCCGGTTCCTCGTCGCCGCTTTCTGCAATCACACAAATGATGCAGGGCAAGATATCAGGCGCACTGCCCTCGCGCGGTAGTTCTGACTACTCCAGAATGGCTGAAAGCCTTGAAGCCGACATGATCAAGAATCCCTACGCAGACCGAGCTCCTCCCCACCACCTGCACGTCTACTGCCACAAGCACAATACAATCCTCACCTTGACACGACCAAATGGTAGCCCTATTCTGTCCATCGGATGCGGTCAGATAGGCTTCCGCAAAGCTGGACGCTCCGGCTTTGACCCAGCATACCAACTATCCGCTCATGTTATGAATCAGATTCAGGAAAAGGGCTTCCTGATGGAGATCGAGCGGTTGGAGGTCGTATACCGAGGGTTTGGAAAGGGCCGTGATGCTTTTACAAAGGTCCTGTTGGGCCACGAAGGACGACACCTCCGGGGGCTTGTTGCGCGAGTGACCGACTCCACACGTCTAAAGTTCGGTGGTACTCGCAGCAGACACGTGCGTAGATTGGGTTGATCTCCCTCCATAGAAGAGACCTTGTTTTTGTTTTGGGCTGGCTGCTTGTGTCGGGCACAGTTGTACTGGATTGGACTATATGGAGAGATCCCGGCAGTCTCTTTTTGTGTTCTTATCTACATGGCACGCCTGTCGCCATCTATTCTCTGTATATTAGAAACATCATGACAGGACTACACAAACTTCATCAGCGAGACCTCTGTAACTAGGCTTAATCATGATGCTTTAGGTCCCGGAGTGACAATCTAGAAAATAAGGGAATCTCCGAAGCTGTTCAAGAGGAAGTCCAGGTCGCAGTGCATTGAATGGAATATTTCCCCAATGCGGTATAGCGCCAATCAACTTGTCGATCACTTTCTCGATTCACCCGCAACACATGTGCTTCAGCTTCAACTCTTACCTCTATGGCTTCTTAATTTCTGCAATCTAGCTTTGTTATTTTGTTCCAACTTCTTTGCAGCTTTACCAAATAAACCCAAAGACCTGCTCTGGTTTTGCGCTGCGCTGCGGCCTGTTGGATGCAAACTGCCCTTCCCCGCGAAATCTTACAGCTCACATATCCCCTGCTGTGGAGCTTTGAGACGGACGGCTTGATGATTGCTGGAGTCCTTCGACTGGGCCGTCCAAAACCGTTTGGATGCACCCTCTAAACCCTTTCCTCCGTGCCTTCTTCCGAAGCACTGTCCCGGGCCAGTGTCTACCGGTCGAGAATCATGTAGGTGGAGGCTGTGAATCTGTCATCGGATCATCCGGAGTGGCTAATTGATATTGCGTGTACGCATCAGGTCTTGCTCGTTCCAACGACTGAGTCTCTCATCGGTTCACGCGACCGGGAGTCCAACCTCCTATATTCCGACCTTGTCGCGTCAGAGGAGTTCCTAGGGAGCCATGTGCTCCGCATCCCCACTTATACCGGGCCCGCGAATCCCAAAGAGGAGATCAATGTGCGAGAAAACCGAGGTAAAGCAAAGCAGGTGACCACATTCAATGGGAGGACAGTGATCATCAAGGACAACTCAGTGTACAGCAACAAAGGTGAGAGCACTTGTTGATGAATGCGCTCGCCCAAATATTTTGCTCACAGAGTCATTTCTATTAGGGTTCAAGTCACTCACACAAGCGCAACTACTTTCCGATGTGCTATATTACAGCCCGTCCAATGAATCGCGCCCATGGCTGATTTACTACATCTCTCGCCCGTTGATCGGAACGTACGACCCTGCGAAGATCATACCAGCCGCAGTCCCTGGAACTAATATCGGGATCGTTGGACAAACTACGCCGGACAAGAAATTTGGAAACGGAGATTCAATTGGGACGCCACCAAAACAAGAGATCAAATCTTTTGGGGAACTGCTAGCAAATTACCCAATGATTGCCAGACAGATGCATCCGGGTCTGGAAAGACTATTCAAAGAGTTTGGAAAGGAACTTGGTAAACCACTGCCGCCTCCACCCTCACGATCGCCATCTGCATCTGGCAGTGAACGCGTCCACAAGTTGTCCCGAACCGAGTCTTGGACAGACGAAAGCTCTTCCATTCGCAGCTGGTCGTCACGTAGCAGAGGCCGACTGCCATTCAACTCGGAGGAATACTTTGAGGACGACGAAGACCTCATGCGTCGAAGCTTGGAAACTGCGGTGACTGCTGCCATTGATCTTTTCCGTCTCGTTGACAAGCAGCAATTATCGTTGCTTGGTGCGACTACTGACCTGACCGGTCCCCTGGTTGAGCGGCTAATAGAACGTTATGTTGCTGAGCAAGTTCACGAGCCACTGCTTTTCCCTCGCCTTTGTTCATTCCGCCAACCAGAGGACTCAGAGCTGGATTCCCGCATTCGACAGATGGAGAGCATTGATGTGTCCCAAGTTGGAATTACCGTCGAAGGTGGACGTGAAGGGAAGCGAGAATTGACTCGCCGACTTGGGCGAGCCGTGGAAGAATTTCGGAACATCAATGACGCTCGATGTCCCCACGATATGCTGAATACCCTCCTTAGAACAGTGAAGGTCATCTCCTTCCCTGGAAGTTATGATCAGATGGACGGTCCGGCATCTGAGAAGGGAACTCCCTCTGTCACGATCAACGCTGATGTCTTGGTGTCGTTGTTGCTTGTAGTTGTCGTTCGTTCTCAAATACGGCATCTCCAAGCCCGATTGTTGTACATGCAGCACTTTATTTACATCGATGACGTTGACAATGGTGAGATGGGATATGCCTTAAGTACATTCGAGGCTGTTTTGATGTATCTCGTGACCGACTCCGCTGGATTACGGCGTGCCAGCGTTCGGAACAGACGTTTGTGGCAAGCAACAAAGTCTGGCAGAGTATCGGACATGAAATCTATACTAGAACCGAACGAGGACCACGAATCAATCGATGACACGAATCCACCGGAACTGGAGCGGAAGTCTGTATTTTTTCAAACAGATGATGTTGATGAGCCGGATGATCTCCCTCTTGAGCACTCTTATGCGAGTCAGATGAATGGCGACTCATACCGGGATGAAGCTATTGTCGATGCACCACCGTTATCCCATGTGTTCCCATTCCAAACTTGGGATGATTTTTCGATTAATCAAGAATCTCACCCTCACCGTCCAATCAAGAAGGTTTCAATGGACGTTCGCAGCCTATCGGAATCATCAGCAGTCTCGTTCATTTCCCGGACAGCAACCCTCGGATCCATGGCGAGTGGAATCGAGGGTGACAATTCGATTGAGACCTTGACAAAAACCCAAGACCCTGCTGGCCATTCCATACCGATGATGGCAGTGGAGGCCCGTCAGGCCGAGGCTTTGAGGTACCTGTTGACGCTAGAGGAATACTACCCCCTGGAAGAAATCATCGAAGACACCAACGCCGATGGGACCACACTACTAAACGCTGCGGTGCAGCTTGCACACACTGATATAGTCAAGGTCCTCTTGGACTTCCTATTTGAAAAGACAGATGCAAGCGTAGTTGCGTCCTACTTGACCAAATCCGACGTTCACGGTCGCACTGTTGGTCATTATCTTTTCAGCACACCCTCGCTGCTCGAGAGACTTGGTGGCATTATCCCATGGCGACAACGAGACAAACATGGCCAAACGCCGCTCTTTGCCCTTTGTCGATCGTATGATCACCCAGAATACAAATCAATGGTCCAAGCCGGTTTGGCCGCCGCACAATGGGCACAAGGCGACAATAAACCACTTCAGCTCGATGATCATATCGATGCGAAGGGGAATACACTGTTGCACATTGTCGGTGACCCTGAGATTACCCGGCGTATATTGCAGAGCAGCGATTGCGATCCTAACGCGACCAATGACAAGAGATTTACGCCATTGATGATGGCCAGCAAGTACGGGCGAGTTGATCAAGTTCGCATTCTCTTCTTAGATCCAAGAGTCGACGTTTATGTTAAAGAAGCCCGTGGTTTGACAGCCGTGGAATTGGCCAAGGATGATGAGGTGCGAAATCGAATCGATGATTTGATCTTGTTGTCACATCCATCGTCGGCTTGTGGAGATCCTTCCGGACGTGTCACAACGGTTGTGCGGTCGTACTTCGTCGAGGACGCAACTGTGCGCTTCATTCTCAAATCCGGCGCGCCATTCCCTCCCACTGAGTCTGTTGCGTCATCGCGGCCCGGTTCGACTACCTACACGGTTACGACGTGTCGCCGCAATTTCTCCGACTTTGAGAATCTGGCCAAGTGGCTTGCAGTGGAACATCCAGGATCTTACATGCCGTCTCTCTCGGATTTCCGGAATCCGTTTCAAATTCACTCGAAGCCATCCCGGTCTGTGCTCCACGATCTCCAGGAAAGACTAGATCGGTTCCTGAAGACACTTCTCGCCCATCCAACCTTTTCAACTCACGAAATGTTGTGGGAGTTTTTCCTCGTTCCAGAACTTCAGCCTGAGATGGTGGCCGACCGATCGTATCGCAAGGCTGCCGTGCTCACAGAGACTATCGCAGACGAATTTGTGCCGGTCTCACTGGAGGGCATGCGTGATACTGAGCAGTTCATCACCCACGCCCAGGAAATGGTGCGCGGTGTACACGTGAACACACGTTCCCTGATTCGCCGAGGGCACGCATTGCAGAATGCAGCATCTGATATGGCTGATGCCGTGATGTTATGCTCATCTGTCCTTGCTACACTGCGAGCGCCCACCAATGCACTTCCGATCTCACACATCGAGGCCTTTTCCCGTTACGCCACCTACCTATCGACCTCTAGGTCTGACTCCTCTCCTCTCCTCCAGTATTTGGCAGCTCTTTCCTCGATAGACAACACAACGGCTGCAATTCTCATCTCTTTGTCCCGTCCGCTTGCCCTCATGTCCTCCCTCTCTTCAACAAACCGCCACATCTCTCGCTCTCGTTCCTCACTCCTCTCCTCCTCCCTTCCCCGCAAATTCAACATCAACCTGCCTGGCTTCGAAGAGTCTCGCCAAAAGTCCGTCCGTGACCTGGAACAGAAGATTCGCGATGGCGAATCCGAGTCCACTCGGTTGGCGAAGGAGGTTTCGTGGAACAAGGATGTCGTGGTCGGCGAACTCGCTGGCTGGACTTCGTGGCGAGAACGGGTTGGCCGTGACGCCATCCGCGCGTTTGTCAAGGATACTCTTGTGCGCGAAAAGGAGCGAGGGAAACGCCTTGAACGGTGCCTGCGCAGTGTGCGCGATCTGAATGCATGAAGATGAAGATCATTTTTCCGGATAGATCTGACGGACTTTTATTCATCTTTCTTTTTGTATCACCTCCCATTTCCTACTTTACTCCCTGTACATCTCATGGCGGACATGTGTTCGGGAACTTTGGTTCTGTATGTGTTGCTTTTTTAATCTTTGTCGGTTATATGTGTGAAGCGTCTCTAGGACTGGAATAGCGAGGCGGCGCATGGAGGTGGGACTCCCCCCCCCCCTTTTTTTTAAAGCTCAGACAACATTCAATGAAAAATTTAATGATCGTTGCTTTTGATATCTTGTCCTGGATGCCTGAGGTTGACCTCAGAAGAGGACAAACGTGGAAGGAGCCATACAAGAGTGCTGCCCTGCTCCGTTTTGTCATCTCTTCGTCGTCCAACGCTTGCATCCTTGTCGATTGATGTTGAAGTAAGCCTTTGGTTCGTATGTTACCTGTTGCTTGCCTGATACAACGAACCCCGACTAAAGGATGATGTACCCCAGGTCCTCCGAAGTTACAATTACATGTGTCTACCGAATCACCATGGCCAACCATCAAGTAAATCCCGCATATTACTTCCCAGGCCACGGCCCTCCTCGCTTATATACGGAGTTCAGAGTCGGTAGTGGCCGGGTGTTCCCCACAGAGTTCACTCCTCCATGTCCAGATGATACTCCACAGTCCTTGTTCCCCCATTGCCCTAAAGTCACAGTAACGGACCGAGTCCATCGATTCATCCGCCTCAACCACGACAACCGCTCCGTCGAGGACGAATTTCTCATCTATACCGGCGCCACGTGTTTCGATAGCGGCAGAATGAACGCCAGAGCGGGTTGTTCCTTTGTTTATAACAATTCCACATCTGGTTTCGCACGCTTTCCCCTCGAGTACAAAGGGCCCACTGGTCAACAGCACACCATGACAATTGACCGGGCACACATTCGCGCCGCCATTGCAGCTCTGCGATATCGAGACTGGGCTGCAGATGACTTTAGTCGTCTGATCATTGCAACAGACTCGGAGTATCTGGTGGAGGGTATCACAATCTCGATGAGGGAATGGCTACATTGGAACTGGATGACGCACGCCGGGGAACCGATCAGGAATCGGGATCTTTGGGAGTGTCTTCTGGGGGAGGTGGAAATCTGGGAGGAGAGTGGGATGAGTGTCCAATTCTGGCAGATTCCCAGAGAGTCGAACATAAAGGCAGACCGTCATGCTAGACACGCTGCGTTTATGGAAAGACATCGCGAGTTTACGGATCTTGATGGTATCGGCACTAGTTCTATCTAGAGGCTGGTTCTCCATTCCTCTGCCAGAAATCAATACGTGCTGAAAGAAAAAAGAAAGAAGCGAGGGGGATCAGCAAATGAAAGATCAAGGCTCTATCCGCACCGGAAGACACAAATGAAATGAATGCAACCAATCCATGAGCCCTGTCTCTTGAGTGACCGTTCTATATATATATCTAAGTGGATTCATTCATGCTAAGCTATGGGCTATTAAAGATTTATTCTTAGTTTCATTCTTCAACTCCATACGATACCTATCGAGCCAGGCATTCCATCACTAAAGACTGTTTACATAGATCAATCACGCTACAAGATGTCCATGGAGAACTGACAGTATTTGCTACATTGTAAACCTAGTACTTCCTACCTTCCGGGTTGGTTGGCATGCAACTAAACACGTAGCACTAATCAAAAAAGGGCATTCGAAAGAACTAGACACTACACATAACGGATAAGAGGTGTCCTCAAAAAGAAAAAACCAGTTCCACAACATTGACTTCCAGGAATATCAACGGTGAGGGAAAGGCAAAGACAAGGAAGAGTCTCCTAGTCGAAGGTGCAACTTGAATCCATTTGGATTCTTCATAAACTTTGAACCAACCAGCAAAAACAAATGAAAGATCAAGCCAATTCCCCAATGTCTGTCATCAACGGTCAGGGCTGACCGAAAGGAAAGGGCGTTGGGGGAACAGCGGTCCATTGAGGTTGATCATCTCCAGCCGAAACGTCCACCAGTACAGGCGATACAGGAGACATGGAACTTGTTGATCTAATAGTGTCAATGTTTCTCGAGTAAGCCATTCTCGGAGCTTCCGCCTCATCGAACACGCGGGGCACAGATTGCAAGGCACCTGCACTGGAAGGACGACTTGATGCACCGGAAACATTCGAACGACGTCCATATACCTGCAATGCACGTGAGGCCGATAGGCCAGTCGGGCTTTGAGGGCGGTACGACCTGTTTGATGATTGACTAAGGAGCGAAAATGTCTCAGCCCCGGCAGATGTCGTCGTCCACACCTGGGAGGATCCGGCCGTTGGGATAACGGATGACGAGATCGATGCTCTCGGTGTCATGATGGACGAGTGCTGTCCCGAAATACTTCTCTGGGTCTGTTCCGATGGCATGCTACCAGAGGTTGTGGTCCAAATCTGGGATGATCGCGATGTTGGGATGGCAGACGATGAGATGGATGCTCTAGGCGTCGTGCTTGATGAACGCCGTCTTGAGCTGCTCCACTGAGTCTGATCAGACCGCATGTCATCAGGATCTGTTTCTTGAGTCGAGATCTGTGTCAAGGTGTGGGCATCTGCAGATAAAGACCCCGAAGTGCCGTGTTTTGCCATATACGGCTGAGGTGGAAACTTGCAGTGGTCAGCATCATCCGCGTCGTCAATGACGATGGTGATGGATGGAGACCCGCTTCTGCTGAACATGATTGAACCCCGCTCAGGCTGGATATCCTTCATGAGGAAGTCATCTAGGGTCCTACTTGTATCCTCGGCCAAGGACACTGCGGACTGGTCAAATTGGTCGTTTTCATGACTCTCCGGGCGACGAGACCGTCGGGCACGCAGTCTTCGTCGAACGTACCACACCAGCAAGTATGTCAGTGCACCGAGTGTGAGAATTCCGAGGATGGCGGCTGTGGCAATAGCGAGCTTCCCATAGTCCCAGTTTTTCATGATGCAAGGGTCGGAAGTGAATGGATGGTCTGCTGTCTGAAGCTGGTGAGTTATAGAGAGTAATTGTGTGTTGGTCATATAACTTTGGCGTCAGTGCAGTTCGGAACTAAAGCAAGTGCGATTTAGGGTTTCTGGCAACTGCTAAGGCATCTGCGCTGTAAGTACACATCTATCGGAGCGAAGCGAAATCGAGCACGAAACCCATCAAAAAATGCATTCTTTCTATTCGTAAAGTGGCCAAATCTATCGTGTTCATCGGTAGTATAATTGGTTGAAGATCAACTAACGCGGAGTGTCTAGGAAGGGAGCGGCTACAGGCCATGGAAATGAAAAGACATCATTCCTACTGTGAAGGTGCTCTATAAAGTTGAGAACCTACAAGACTGGAGGCATCCAACTACAGTTTGTCCGTAATAAGACAACCATTTTCCAATGTTGATCCAAACAGCGTCGGGCAATGTCTTTTCTGCCTCGGGACCCAAGCTGTCTTTTTGGACTTTCCCGTCAGTATCTTCCTGTGTTTAAGCTATCGACTGATACATTGCTAGACCTCTATATTGTATGCAAGATGTAGAAATGTGGAGACAGCAGAAAAATGACAAGTGTGAGGAGAGGAGAGAAGAGTAGGGCTAAGCTACACTATAGATCTCTATTTGAGGACCGTTGTCCTAGAATTCAGGAAATTGTAGCTCATGAAACTCGAGAAACCCAGGAGAGTTCAATTGCAAGTGTGTCACTACGTTCCTCACCAAACACGTACTCTTTCTGACTGGAAAAGTCGTCTTCTCGACCCAGACATCATGCAATGAGAATGTCTTCGAGACAAAGCCTTCCATTCCCATCACAGCATCCTATGCTCCGAATTAAGTACCACGAACAACCTATTTTCTCCGGATGTTCAGCTCACGTTGTGACACGGGACATCTTTCTAAATGGGGACATATCTCGATTCCATTCGTGCTGTCGGAGGACTACCCAAGTCCCGCATTCAGATTCCAGGCCATGGCGGAAGAATTCGTCCTCTACTTCAACTTCCACCACAGGGCGATAGACGGTATTGGGGCAGCTGGTGTTATGGAGGTACTTGCAGTGTGTTGTTGGAATTTGCGGGTCCAAACATTCTACAAGCCAGTCCTCCGAAAGAACGACAAATTCGACTACAGAAATTCAATGCTACCTCTAGGCTGATTATCATATGTCCCTTTCAAAGGAAGAACCTCCTACCTCCTTGTGACCCCGCACCAAGTTCGATGCACTATCTTCCCGCATCTCGAAAGTTCGATCTCGATGCAGACAAGATAGCAAAACTCGATGCTGAAGATGCAATCATCCCAAAGAGTCAGTACAGTCCACTTGCTAGCAAAAACTCCAGCTATCCCATTCCCCCTCTGGTGGTTTGGCTCTGCACAATCCAAGTCTCTCAGGCCGAGACGCTGCACGCTTGAAACTGATGAGGGGCAACGCGGAAATGAGTAAGTGAACGGGTTCAAATGGAAAGAAGATGGCCTATTTAACTTATAACCAGTACGATACTTATTCTTTCAGAAAGGCGGACAGTGTAATAAGAGCGGGGGATGGTTACTGGCCTGCCCAAGAAGGTGAGAGAGCCTGTGCAGGCTTGAGTGTACAAGAGGAAATCGCTGATCTACGAATAAACCTCTCCATTTGCTTAACTTGCCATAGGTGACTTAAAAAAAAGAGAGTATCAACCATTCCAAGCTAGATCTGTATCTCAATTTTGAAAAACGTGGAAAATTCATCAGTGCGTAGCCAACGCTTGCAATGCAACGCCGCCGAAGGTAAATCCAATCATGCAAAGCATTGTTCTAGGTTAAGCTAATTTTCTTCTGAATCTTGCATCAAGCCTACTAGTCATCAATATCTTTAATGTCTTCAATCTTGGAGTACATTTGGTCGTCATTGTGACAGCAGGTTAGATTCTGCCGGGGTCCTTCATAGTGCTTCCGTGCTTGTACTCGTGTTGCAATTGTCTATCAAGCCCTTTGTGATCACACGAAGTCCACGGTTACTATAAGATGTGTCTAGCCTACAGATTTTCAAGACAGCCAAAAAAAAAACGTAATAAAACATCGCATTGAGCAACTATGGGGCACCCGGTCCAAATTAATTCGTTTTATCCCAAAGCGTTGGTAATCTAATAAATAAACTGTGCAAGATCTAATGCCTAGCATTATACAACACCAGCTATGACATCGTGTAGGGCGTTCTGACAAATAATTATAAAAAGAATTCTGCCTCCTTTGTACTTTTCATGACGGGGCATCATATAAAATGTACTTGATTTGAGGAATGAACTCATGTTGGGTGCTTGGCACGATTACAACATAGATAGCTAGGTTTTCAGGGGACTTTAATGCCCACGCACATGATCCTAGGGTATTCACGGGTATATATGCCCTGGTAGGCAAAGTCCCCATGGACCCAAGCGCTAGCCGCCAAATGGAACAGTCCGGCCTTGGACCCAGATGTCGTTGCCGTCGTGCAGACCAGTGAAAAAAAAAAGAAACTGGCCCGAGCCCGGGATTGAACCGGGGACCTCGCGCATTAAAGATGCTCAGGGTTGAACCCTAAGCGCGAATCATACCACTAGACCACCCGGGCAGTTGTTATGTTGAGTAATCAACTTCATAATACAACACTAAACGATTGTGGAATGTCCAGAGACAGAGACATGGGCTCCCGCAAGGCACCCAATGCCATCCGGTTCAGTGTCGACAATCTAGAATCAATGAGAGCTTCCTGCCCAATCCTGTCCTGGATATGCTGGCTACTATAGAATGCAACCTCCGTTGATTGACGTGGTCTCGAGCCGGTTCATTTGCCATCTGGCATACATGATATGATTCACTCTAATTCCAAAGTTCTAGTACCAGAGACCTTGCACCGCGAATATCTCTAGTTTGCATCATTTCTATTCATTTTGATCTGCCTGATAGAAAGCAACAACGAGTTCGGTCAATTGCTTTAGGGTCCGAGATGATCTTTTGCTCTTCACGACCAATTAATAGGAGTGCTCAAGGGGAAGAAAAAGTAGGATTGCTAAACCTATGCATACGATCATTTCTCCACATTACTAGCACGACAACTTGATGTATTTCAACCGAGTGTGAACTCAGTATAATGATGTTATTAACATTACGATACAAGAAGGAAAGAAATGAAAATAGATGACAGAGAGAACATGCTTCAAGGATGCAAAAGAGATTAATTTGCTTATTCATGTTCGTCGTGATGGCCGCAGCCGTTTTATGACAAGAAACAGAAATGCTTCCAAAGGTGGGGGGAACTTATGGTTTGGCGAGTTGTTCCTTACGGAAGAACAGCAAGAATCCGCCACTGTAGACACAAGTTAGAAAAAAGAATTCAAATGGACGAAAAACGCAAAGAGAAACATACCAGACCAACACCTGACAGAACAAAGCCACCCAGAACCAGGCATTAGCCAAGACATGGGCGCCCTGGGTCACGTCAGGAGAAATCGGACCAGGGCCTACACCGTTGGGACCGAAAGCTCGGGCGCAGATAGTCGCAATGGAACCAAGCACCTGTGACGCAATGAGAGCGAAACACATGTGGACTCGAGTGAGCGTCTGCAGAAGGATGATACCGAATCCAAGACCTTGGATGGAATCCAACACGCCCAGCCACAACCAGAGACTGCGAGAGACGAGAGCGCCGGAAGTGTAACTTCCGGCCCAGGGCAGATAGTACCCGATGCCGGAGATGGCCCACCAGATCTGGATGAAGCGGGGTGCGCCCAGGCCGCAGGCGAAAACGGGAAGGAACCAACTGTGTTGCTTGGACCACATGCTGACACCGAAGAGGAAGATGCACCACACGAAGCCGAAGAACACGATGCAGAGGAGAACGATCTGCCATGGGTGGGTGTGCTGCGAGGTCCACAGGACTGGAGGGGAGTGTTAGTGTTGACCGGGGTGGGTGATTTGAAATGGAAGAATTGAACTTACAGCTCCAGTTGCGACCGTATGGAGCGCTGAGGAAGAAGTTCTGCAGGATGACGGCGACGAAATTCCAACCGACGATCTTTCTTCGGAAAAGGGAATGGTAGAAGGATGGCACCTTTCCGGGCTTCTGGCGGTAGTAGTTGGGAAGACCCGAGGCCAACAGACCGCCCACGAGGCATAGGAAGACGGCGATGGGATAACAAATCGCACTAGAACAAGGTGAATTAGAAAGGTCAGGAGATACACACATGTGGGGGAAGCTTTACCTCATCTTCCAGCTGTTGGCAATGCCAGTCTGAGCACTCAAGAGACCCTCTGAGGAAGCCTTTGTCATAGTAGAACCCCAGTACCAGAGGGCAATAACGTAAACCTGCTGAATACCTTGAATCACACAGGCGCGGAAAATCCAAATCTCGACGGGAGCACCTCCCTCATCACCGAAATTGGAAGCGAAGAAGATGGATCCACTGGCAGAGGCCGCAGAGTAGAAACCGGTGCCGACATTCTGGATCCATCCCCGACTGAAGGAATTGCTTTGCCAGTGAGCAGATCCAATCAAGAGGAATGCAAGACCATATAGGAACCAGGGAACAGAAAGACAGACGACAGACTTGAAGTACCGGAACACGAGCCACCAGCACATAGATGCAATGGCATATGTTGCTGCAATTCCATACAACTTATCCGCGGTCTCACCGACTTCACCTGTGAGTAGAGTGATCTGGTAGGAATTTGCAGCGATGATCTGACCCAAAGCGAGGAAGATGGAGTAGACGGGCCAGGTTCCAATTTTGATCTGCATCCATTTTTTGAGTCCAGTTGGAGGCACGTAGTCTTTTCCAAGGAGGAACTCGTCATCCTGAAGCACATCTTCGTTGCTGTTCACGTTGGAGACGAGATCATCACTGTAAAACATGTTGTCTGGTGTATCAGTGTTTCTTGATGAATGACGGATCGATGGGGTGGGAGATTTGCTGCGACCCAGTCTGGCATTGCGGAACCTGTCAAACCACTGCTGTTCGCTCTTAATCAAGAACTCTTCGATGCAAAGTTGCGACTCGGAGTTGGTTCCGTTCAGGGCATCCAGTTTCTTGTCAAAAGTCTTGTAGTACTCGCCAGTGCTATCCGTGAAGAAAGGATCGACCTTCTGTAGCTTGAAGTCTGTCTTGTTGCCGACAACGGAGTCCAGAGAGAGAACGGATGCGCTACTTAAACGGTTTGACTGGGCAAACGGCTGAGGAGGAAGAAGGAGGCTGTCCGCGTTCGGTGGTGTTCCCGGACTTCCCGGGCTGTCCGAAGCCATGAACCGGGGATGCATAGACTCTTGACTGACTTCTCTTGATGGAGTTTGGAAGTTTTGAGCACGCTCCCTTTGAGCAGCCTGGGCTCGTCGTCCTGCCTCGACTTGTGCTGGGGTAAGAGTGTATTCGTCATCGCCAAAGGCGCGATGGGCATCGTCGTCGTCGCTACTATCGTCGCCCTCGACATCCGTAGCTCCATTCTCATCGGCTTCTGGGATGGCCATACCCTCCGCTGCCCTTTTGCGACGTCCGGCATGACCTGGGCCTGAGCGGACACCCAGGGAGAGAGAACGACTCAGTCCCGACTTCGGTTTCTCCGTTTCTTCCATGCTTGGATCCGGGCTGTAGCTGATCTTCTTTTGTGGAGTCAGGTTGTTCAATTGATGAAAGGAGTAGCTGCTTTCTCTGGAATGCGCGAATGGAGAGTTCATGCCAGGTGAAGACAGCCCGTTGCCGAGATGAGTCATAGAGCTCATTGCCGAACTGAGACTGCCAAATCCAGAAGAAGTGCCAGGTCGAGCGTTGTTGTTGTTTGTCTTAACTTTGTTGTGGACTGCGATGGCAGTAGATTGGAGGATTTCAAGATCCTCAACCCATTGAGCAACAGGGAAACGCTGTTTCGCCGATCTCGCACGCATCATCGCACGAACGGGTGTCTTGGAATTCAGGGCTGCCTCAATTGCAAGCTTGAATTGCATGAGAAGATGAGACGTCGAGGTGGATTCCACATTGTACCACCAGCCTGGCATTTGGCCAAGACCACCAACACGAGCACCGATACCCAATGCACCCTTTCGGCCAAACTCTACAGCCACCAGACCGAAGGGCTCGTCACGAGATGGGATCAGGGCGAACTCGGCACCAGAGAAGATGAATGGCGGAAGTGCAGTGAATTCAGGCTTTGAAAAGACTCGTCCGGGGTAGACTTTCATCATATGGTCAAGCTTAAGAGCTGCAAATTTACCATAGAGATCAATAACGGGGCCAACACAGATCAACTGCACATTGGGCCGAGCTTCAATAACGGCAGGCAGTGCATCCGCAATGAGATCAACACCCTTTTGCATAGACCAGCGACCGACGAAGACAAGCAGGTCAGCGTCAGGGTTTTGGTCGAGCCCTGCCCATTCCTGGGCCTGCCTCTTAAGTTCACCACGGCCAGCCTCGTATGTTGGATCGACAGTGATGTCTGCCTCTTTGGTGGGCTCCTTTGTCCATTCACCGACGTCAGATGGATCAGGGTTAGGTAGATTGCCGACCTTGTGTAAACCCCAGAAGATAGGATAGCGAGCGTAGGACCGTTTACCGTACTTCTTAGAGACACCGACGGCACCAAAGCCTTGCTGGTGAACACGGAGATAACTTGCACCGGCGTGGAGTAAGTTAAACACTTCACCGAATTGCACGTAACGACGAGCGACCTCTTCATCAAGGTTGAAAACCGAGCAAACCTCCTCTTTTTCCTTAATGGTTCGCATCGGCCAGAGGCCTTGAAATTCGGCATTGTGCAATGACAGACAAGCAGGGATAGTTCTTGGTAGTAAGTAAAGCGGTGCGAGGGAGCCGTGGTAGTCGTTGATGTGGTAGGTATCAATTGGGAATCGCTTAATGGCTTCAGCGACACACTGGTTCCATGCCGAATAGTACACTGCACTATCCAGGTCATCCATACGAGGAGGGTAAGGCTCGGTCTTTGACTGTTGACGGAACACTGGAGCATCGAGTAGCACATAGGTGATGTTATTCAAGACGTGGTACTGGACTTCAACCTGGTAGGGGCTACCGAGAATGGTGACTGTCATAGGCTCTGCCACCTGGTCCACAGGGTAGTCGACACCTCCAACACAAGGAACAACCCAAATTAGGTCTTGATGACCGAGGGTCTTGCCCATGAGCTGGGCCATGACACCGAGACCACCAATCTTGATTTTGATGGCCCAGTCCTCGATGTCGTACTCCATGGTAGCAATAAGAACCATGCGTCGCTTCTCGGACGCAAGAGCTCCGCCTAGAGCAGAGGTGCTCTGCATGAAGCCGGATTTGTTGGCCAGGCGCTTAAGTGGGTTTGAAGATGCATCCCTGTGACCAGTGGACTTTATCTTTTTCCAAATCGCGAGGGGAATGTTTTGTTTCTCGCTCACACCGACCTGGTTAAATTTGACCTTATAAAAGGACTTCATGAAGATGTACACACATCCCACGGCAGTGAGGAATGGTATGATCCAGAATAACACATACATGGCAATCTGTGTGGACTGATGTCCAACCGGATCAAGCCAGAAACGGAGAGTTCCATCATTGAAGTAGAGCTTGTGAGAGATGTAGCCCTTGGCTGGTGCATGGGTGATATTGATCAAGGTTGCGCTAAGAGCAGACGGGGGACTTCGGTCCAGGATTGTGTCATTGTCGAGGTCACCCAAAACCCAGGTTTGATCGGGCTTTCCGTCCGGATTGATGCCCCAGATGTTAAGCTGCCCGACTGCGGGCCATTCAGAAGTGAAATGGAAGGACCAGACTCCGGTTTTGGTGTCAAGCTTGACCTTGTTGTCAAGGCCCGAGTCAAATCCATACTGATTGTAAGGTCCGTTGAAGAAAGCATGAGGGAAGCGTCGTGTGACCGGGTGATTCCAGTCAGCATCACCTTGCTGCACATAGTCGCTGCTTCCAGTCAAACGACTCCAGTACTCGACACGTACATGCTCACCCTCCCACTCCTGCTTCTTGGTTCCTGACCATGGGAGCTTGGCAATGGTGTCATTTCCACCTTTGTAGTCTATCCATCCAGAGAATGACGATGCCCAATTGGTAGAATAACGGTATTTATCAGCACCAGCAGCGTGATGCTGGATAAACAGGTCGCCGTTTTCTTTCTTGTGGAGCAGACTGCTCGAGTAGTTTGCAGTAGTGAATACCATAGGATTATCAAACTGGCCGATACGGAAGAGGAAGTGATCAACGGCGTGGGTGGAAGATGTTTTTTGTGAGTTGGTTGCGTTGGTGAGAGTTATTTTATGCACTCCGTTGTACACCCCTGTAAGGTTGGCTGTCCACCTCCAAACGCTTGGGATCTCCGCAGTCCAATTTGTTTGGAGCATAGTAGGAACAGGTGCGCATACAACACTGTCAATATTCAGGACTGGAACCTTCCCAATCTCTGTGGATGAAGTAAAGGTAAGTCCGTTGGTAATAGAGCTACAGTCCATCTGTTCTGAGAAGTAAAATCCAATCTCCACATTCTCCGGAAGGTTGGGTGCCACGGTAGAACGTAGTGGGAAATCATGTCCCGGGGTAAATTTGGTGATCATGGGTCGAGGCAATTTGTGTTTCACGATTGGGACATATGCGCGGAACTCATATGCCTTCATCTTCAAACTTTCCACGCAGCCATTCAACTCATTGGACCCGTTGATGCCGAGCTTACGCGCTCCGTCAATTAGTTTGATCTCGTCGTACGGGTAGAAAAGGTTCTTGACAGTGACGCCAGAAGCAAATGGAGCGGTGAGTGTCTTATTCGGATTCTCGGAGTTGCAGTCGAAGGTGTATGTTCTCGTGTCATTGAGGTTTTGGTAAACAAGCCAAACCGGTTGGTTGTTGTCATCAGAGCCCAAATCTTGCACCTCGGTGTTGACATCCCGGTAGATGGACCACATGCCGGTCTCCGTAGCCGTACCGTTCGAACCAGGGTAGTAAACATAGTCAGTTCTTTTTGACAAGTTGCCAAGGGAATAACCGTCGTTGAGAACTGGGAATTGTTCACGCAGATGGTACATCTGTTTCATGATATTTCGCACAGGGTGGGAAGGGTCACGGTGGTCGTAAGCAGTTGTCACGTCCTTGCAGCCCTGTGCAGCGGCCAAAAGAGGCCACTTGTAGTACTGGGACGACTGCAAATGGAAGCAGCCATGGGACGTCCACGCGGTTGCAGGGGACATTGGCTGTCGCCCATAAATATAGTTCTCCGCTGTGGCGTCCAAGATGTAGAAGTTCTGCTCTTCACCCCAAAGAAGAAGTGGGATTCCGGGAAGCATCAATGTAGTCACATAAGCACCGAGTAACTGTCGATGTGTACCGTTGGCAATCGCTGGCCAACGGAAGACATCTTGATTCGTCGCACCATACATGTGTCGAGGGTCAAACTTGCCGGTATTAGCATTGATCAAATCATTTGATCTCAACATATAGTCCCAGCCATCAACCCAATCATTGGGTGCATCGTAGCCCGCTGAAAGTTGCCCGTCCATGCCGAGGAATCGAGTCAACGCACGATATGTCGTGTAGTGGAATGCCGCGCTGTCGATGGCTTCATGTCCAGCCTCGCGTAAGAAGTACTGGGCGGCGGACTCATTTGTCAATTTCAATGTCGCCGCTGAATTTTCAGGCCACTGGTTACGCTGTCTACCCCTTCCGAGGTAGATAGAGCCAAAGTCATTTCCACCGGTGATTTCGCCAGTGATGAAGAAGTTTTCCTTTCCGACCTCGCGCGCACATTCTCGGTAAGCAGCCGACATATCTCCTAGGGCATCCACGGTAGCTTGTGTGCCCTTGTCATAACGGAAACCATCAATATCCAAAGATCGGATGATATTGCAGGAGTGCCGGATCAACCTTGCGCGAACATTCGGGTCCCATTCGCGGAGACGATCCTGAACGGAGGCGAACTTTGCCAGTTGTCGCTTCCAATCAGGCCACACACCGAAAGCCTCAATGTCACCGTACTGGTCGAAGTCGCTGTTATAACATCCAACTAAGCCCGAGGTCTCTGATTCATTCACGGGGAATCCGTCTTCGAACCAGAACCGTGGGTAGTCACAGGTCGCGTTGTAGTCACCAGCTCCAATGGTGAAGTCTCGGTAATGACGTGCAGTCTTCCATTCTGTCCTGTATTCTTTCTCCGAAAATGGAGTCGACGAGTTGAGATGGCCTTCAAATCCAATCAAATCACCCATTCTGTACATTTCAAATTAGCCCTGCTCTCCTATTTCTGCGCACGGGATAACTTACGTCGCAATGGTGTTGTCGAACAAGACATATAACCCGCGCTTATGGATTTCGGTAATTGCATCTCGCCAAGCCTGGATAGTACCGTAATGCGCGTCGAGAATCGTGGTATCCAAAACACCGTATCCGTCCGAACTCCAAGGCTGGTTTAGCAATGAGGTTCCTGCAATGTAGATACCCTGGAAATTGTAAGCACATGTTTTCTTTCCGTCAGAAGGCCACAGATGAGACAAACCTTGACTCCCATTCCTTGAAGATAATCTAGTGTGTCAACAAGGCCGACCACATCACCACCATGGCGAAGACGTTGGTCGACATCATGCTCGAACGTGGTACCGTTTGCGTTGTCATTGGTAGGATCACCATTCACGAAGCGATCCAAGAAGATAGAGTAGAACGGGAAGCGCCAATTATCCGGGGAAGGGTGATATTTCCCCTCGTGGCCAGGCCATGTTCCCCAGTAATCTGCTGGGTTGGTGGCGGTCTTGTTTTCGTTGAGGTTATAGTCCAAATAGGCCTCGTCGTAGGGCCAAGCTGTGACAGTTGTCACGAGAAGTGAGACGAGCCCGCTGGTAAGTGACCACTTCATGGCTAGGACTAACAGCGCGGAGCTGTTGAGTGTTGGTCGCGCGCGTCAGGCAGTGCGGATATCCCCGCTGGGATGAGAGGATGACACCCTATGAAACAGATGGAGACGTGTAGCTCTCAATTGCCATGGAACGGTGGAGTGTGGATATCTTGCGGAGGTCACGTCACAAATTCTTGACAGAAGGCGTCAAAGGTGGCAGTATCTCGGAAAAAAAAAAGAACGACAGGCGGAATAAGCAAACGAGCGAACAAGCGAACGAGGGACGATTGTAAACGAAGGAGGAATCGAATGTGGAAGTGAGAAAGAGATGATCACATAACACCAGTGCCCAGTCCCGAGTGCTAAGTGCTAAAGGGCTAGTCGCATTGAAGCTCAAGATAAAAATAAAAGCAGATGAGACAGAACCCCATATCAATTTTAGAGCCCCAGACTGTATTGGAGTATCTTCGGTTCCAACGCCTCAGCCTCGGTAATTTTTGTTTCTTTTCCTTTTGGGTTTCAATTCTATGTAATTTTAATTTTAGTTCTTTTTCTTCCTTGGATATAAATTTGTCGCCTTGTCTTGGCATCAAACGCGACTGGTGGCGACTAATACGACCAGAATACACCAGGAAAGAGCACCAGCATTCTTCTCCAAATAGAAAACCCGCTTCGTTTAAAGGAGTAATAACAGGATCATGACAACGGAGCTACCCGACTAGCATGAAAGTTCTATACGGAGTACGGATAACGGAGTACATTTTATTGGATTTGACCCATAAGGACCACTTGCCAGGCCCTGATAGTCTCATCAAAACAATCGCAGTCTCTTTCCCCGGGGGGGGGACACAGGATAGCTTTATAGACTTATCTTGCCTGGCTTGCACTTGTCTCATTTAAATTCGATGAAGACAAAAGTTTAGGAAGGCATTGCTTTCAGCATTGTAAGTTGTGAGAGATTTTCATGTCTGCCTACTATTTGCAGGGAAAGTTTCTATTCAGCCGGTGATTTTCCAGACCCGCAAATCTCAACCTATGATAATGCCGAGATACTTCTCGGTCATGACCCGCATGGCCGAGATCCTGATAGCCCGACCCGGCCGATTGGTCGACAAAGTGAAACCAGCCCCCACCTTGTGCTTGTAAGACAGTGTATGGAACTTGTTTTTTTCAGTTTCTTCTCTTTTCCTTTTTCTTTTTTTTTATGTTCACCCCTTTACATAGGATTCCAAGGTCTTTCTGTTTCCTTTTGGTTCCCTGGGACCCTAACCATGGAGCGAGTACAAATGTCCTTAAGGTTTCCAATGACAACCAATGGTGAACAAGGAATGACGTAGAGATGGATAGCTTTCATGTGCCCAGGAGCTGCCTATCCGGCACGTCCGTTAGGCCATTTGATTTTTAGTTCCTTTTCAAATCAACCTTTGAAATTTTCAAAATGTGCTGTACACTTCACTTCGTACCAGGCAAAACAAGCAAAAAGAAACCTTTTCCTTAATCTCCACATGGTCAGGTATCCCTGTAATACCGAGTAATTACCACGATTTAATCCCAGTATCAACGCCACTGCACACGGAAGTCCGGGACGCCCGTCAACAGGCGAGCTTGGCGAAGAAAATCCCTCCAGCCACGTACAGTCACTTATCGATCATACCTGTTCATTTCCACCTCCTAACTCCTTTTTCTGTGGTTTTGTTTTGCATTTGCATTTGCATTTGCCGTAGCACAAAGTCCTCGACGTACCTTCGTCTCTGGTATCAAAACACACAAATAGCACATTGCAATTTTACAGAGTCCGTCATTAAATTTTTTTCATGAACTATCTCACATGTCAAATTCAAAGCCTGGGCAGCCTCAGGGCTAAGGCGTGTGGTGTATCAGTTCACAAAGTGTGTACGGTAAGGAGTGCGTCGTACTATGTATAGTTTTGTGACCCGATTTTGTGGAGATGCAGAGCATGTAACGTCGCTAGTCTCATGGATTGAGGGCACACTGTCTCAGATGATTGGATCATCGAAACTTTTTGTCATTTCTCGTATGATGGATAGGACGGCGACTTGTTCCTGAGATTAGGGCAGTGTCTCCACGTGATGACCTGCGAGTACAACCAGTAAACCGCAAAGCCCAGCAAGCTCAGTGTGGACACGGTTCCTGGTACCTGACAACACTAAAAATGACTCCTGTACGGAGTTTTTTCCAATAGTTTTGTTACTAGTGTGTCAAGACCTCCTGTTCTTTTTCCCCCTCATAGGCACACCAAAACCAAACCAAACCTGACTTTTGCAGTCCCCGCTTGAGGTCTACATAGAACATGAATCCACTGGTGCAGCTCTTCAAGCTTCAAAGCCACTCTATTCATGATTTTCCTTCGTTCCATTTACTGGGGAACAGAAATAAATGTATGCGGGTAAGCCGGGTAAGTCGCGGCCCTAAGGTCTATTAGTGCACCTATCCCGAGGCAAATTATCTTCACAGGCACATGCGTACCAACGGAGACGCTCCACTAGCTACATAAAACACATGTCTCTCCGAAATAATATAGGTAGCGTAGGGTTGTGGGGGGAAGGGGGTTCCAATACTATGAATGGATCGACGAAAGAACCTTGGAAGGCTTGCCTTGCCACCTGACTAGCCCTTGCCTGATTTGCAAATTTCCCCGACCTTTTCTTGTGCAGGTGTCCGACTTCTGCTCTCTTTGCCTCCTCTCGTTCTCTGTTTATGGGCTAAAGTCCAAATGTCACTCATTTACTCCTCTTTCCGGCCATCTTTGCGGATTCGTGAGTTCATTAAGTCACTCTTTATTTGAAGCCCCTGTACACACTCTTTTTTTTCCTCTTCCGATTGACCCGCCGTCAGACAAATACGAGCTGCCATGATGTCACGATCGACCATTCGCCGTTTGGCAGGGCTCCTTTTGATCACGAGCCTCACCTCTTCGGCATCCGCCGCAAGGGTAGGCGACTGGAAGCCCAGATCGATATATCAGACCATGACAGACCGTTTCGCTCGCACAGATGGATCAACAACAGCACCATGCAACACCACGGCGGGTCTTTACTGTGGAGGAACATGGCGAGGAACCATGAACCAACTGGACTACATTCAAGGAATGGGGTTTGATGCTGTAATGATCTCCCCCATCAGCGAAAATGTCCATGGCCAAGTCTACTATGGCGAAGCCTACCACGGGTACTGGCCTGTGAACTTGTACAATATCAACTCTCATTTTGGCACGCATCAAGACTTGCTCGACCTCAGTGCCGCTGTTCACTCCCGGGGCATGTACCTCATGCTGGATACAGTGATCAACAACATGGCCTATATTTCAAATGGTAGCAATCCCGCCACAAGTATCGACTACTCCGTCTTCACACCCTTCAATAACGCCGACTACTTCCATCCCTACTGCAAAATCACACAATGGGAGAACATGACCAATGCCCAGTTATGCCAGACAGGTGATAATTACGTCCCGCTGCCGGATCTTTACACAGAGCACGCGGATGTGCAACAGCTCATGATCAAATGGGCGAACAATGTCATCAAGACTTACTCTATTGACGGGCTCCGGATTGACGCCGCCAAGCACGTCAACCCGGGCTTTCTGGAAAACTTTCGCAAGGGTGTCGACACTTTCATGACAGGAGAAGTCCTTGAAGGAGCGGTCGACATCATGGTAGATTACCAGACCAATTACATCGACAGCTTGCCAAACTATCCGATCTACTTCCAAATATTAGCTGCTTTCACCGATGGCCATACGTCCCTTTTGGCGCAAGAAGTGGAGAAGATGAGAATCTCGATGCCAGACGTCAATGCTATGGCCTCTTTCTCTGAAAATCACGACAAGCCTCGAATTGGTAGCTTCTCCAAGGATATGGCGGTATGTATGCCCTTTTCTGGCTGACGGATCGCTTTTGTTAATAAACTCTTTACTCAGATGGCTAAAAACATCCTGGTGTTTACCATGCTGTTTGACGGTATCCCAATTATATACCAAGGCCAAGAGCAACATCTGTCAGGAAATAGTGTGCCTGTCAATCGAGAAGCCATCTGGCACACCAAATACGACACCAGCACAGAGCTCTACCAGCTGATTGCAAAGCTAAATCGCATTCGGAACCACGCAGCCCACTTGAGCGCAGACTACTTCGAAGACTCGACTCATCCTATTTTCCAGGGAGGCAGTGAGCTTGCTTTCACGAAAGGTGTGCAGGGTCGACAAGTAGTCATGGTGTTATCCACTCAATCCTCGACCAGTGGAGCCTACCAAATCGACATGCCAGTCAGCTACAATGCCGGTACGGTGGTGATGAATGTTCTGAGCTGTAAGAACTATACTGTCGACAACCAGGGTATGCTGCATGTCGACATGGATAAGGGAGAGCCCCGGGTTTTCTACCCTGCGCAATACATGGACGGTATTGGTCTTTGTGGCTACCCTGATTCCAACGTTTCCCTCACGACGTTGAAGACTCAAAATGAGAAGACTTCGGCTGGAGTTCAATCAACTAGTGGTACCGGTCTAGCTGCTCTCCTGCTAGCAGTGGTCAGCAGCATCTTCGTGACATTCCTTTGAAAGAAATGTCCCGAAAGTCCCTTCTTCAGTCTTCTCTTCGTTTCTTCCGGACGTTTTTGCGCCATATTTTTCTGGCTTTTTTCCATTGCGGTGAGCCGTATTGAAGGCTCGACTTGGTTCGCGGAGATATCCTTTTTCATGTGCGATATTTTTTGGGGTTCTCTAGTATCATTTTGGCGACATTCTTGGCCCTATTATTTTCTGTTGATTCATTGGCCTTTGTATCATAATAGGCTTTCCTTTATTTCCTAAACATTTACATGTCATGCATTATGGCGGGGGAAACCAATGAGATGGAGTTTCTAGAAAAGTTCCAGTGTTCCATGGGTGAAATTTTGTCTAAGACATTTTGGATAATTCCGGACCATCCTAAATTGGATCTCCACCATGCAACCCTGTGCCTTGCAACGGTCGAGTAAAAATAGTCCGAATTGTAAAAACAGTCAAAATGGTGAAAACAGTACTCCGTAAAAATAGTAGGAGTGGTCGCCCCCACTAGCCTAAGCCCCAAACGGGATGTGCACATCCTAGTCTTGGAACATACAACATATGTTGTAGCTTGACCTAGCTTGCCTTATTGTTTGCATTGCAACAATCCCGCGATGCCCTTCCTCTGGTGTGGATCTCGTCAGAAAGGCCAGAAATGGAAACAGATTGAAGGTCAGTCTCCCCCACTGAAAAACGGTTCCAACCCCTAACCAGGATACATGACACAGAAGCAGCAGCGAATCTAGATCAGCTACCATCATGGAATACTCCAGATAACTCACTCATACTGCAAACCTTTGAATGGCATGTTCCTGCCGACCGGCAGCATTGGCGCCGTCTGCAGGATCGCTTACCAGAGTACAAGGCCATTGGCGTTGATCAGATCTGGGTTCCTCCTGGATGCAAGGGAATGGATGCTAATGGTAATGGCTATGACATCTATGACCTGTACGATTTGGGGGAGTTCGATCAGAAGGGCGCAGTCCCTACGAAATGGGGTACCAAGCGTGAGCTTGAAGACCTGATGTGCCAAGCGCAACACTTAGGCATTGGTGTGATTTGGGATGCTGTGCTCAATCACAAGGCTGGCGCGGACTATCCGGAACCCTTTCAAGCTGTAAAGGTAGATCCTAAACGTAAGATACCTCACTTCTCTTTTCACTGACATTCCATTCCATTTCATCACGAATATTCGATCATTTGCTGACAGACAGAACAGGGAGAGACTTGGAGATATCCAAGCCGACAGAAGTCAACGGCTGGACAGGCTTTGATTTCGCCGGTCGCAATGACATGTACAGCTCAATGAAGTACCACTGGCAACATTTTAGTGGTGTCGATTGGGACGACAAGAGCAAGCAAAGCGCAATCTACAAGATCGTTGCATCCAACAAGGACTGGGCGCAAGATGTGTCCACCGAGTTTGGAAACTACGATTACCTGATGTTCTCCGATTTGGACCTTGCACATCCAGAAGTCCGCGCAGACCTCCTGCAATGGGGAACGTGGATAACCAAGTGCCTGAATCTCAATGGAATGCGGCTCGATGCCGCTAAGCATTTCTCAACCGAGTTCCAACACGCTTTCGTGCAACATATTCGAAAAACTGTCAACCCGGACTTCTTCGCGATAGGAGAGTATTGGACTGGACATTTACCATCCCTTTTGGGTTACCTTGACAAGGTGGAGAACGACCTCATTGCATATGACGTACCTCTTCTGGAACGATTCTCCAAGTTGTCCCATGCACAGGCACCAGACCTTCGAGGCATTTTCAAGGATACATTGGTACAGTGTCGGCCGGACCACGCTGTGGTAAGTTTCTCACTGCCCGATACCCGACTGAAGATACTCACCTAACTTCTCTCAAGACCCTTGTCGCGAATCATGATACGGTAAGTACCAATTGTGGCTGGATCTAGGCATACTTTACCTCTTTCCTAACTCTCCGCAGCAACCAGGACAAATGCTTGAGGTGAGGCAACTTTGTTCTCTTTATCTGAACTACTGAATATAGCTAATCAACCCCCAGACGCCGGTATCACCATCCTTCAAATTACTAGCCTATGCCCTGGTCCTCCTCCGCAAAGACGGTCAGCCATGCGTATTCTATGGCGACCTGTACGGTATACGAGCGAATGTGGATAACCCAATGACTCCGAGTTGCAACGGCCTCCTGCCCGTATTAACCCAAGCCCGCAAACTCTATGCCTACGGCGAACAGCAAGACTACTTCAATCAGCCCAACTGCATAGGTTCGCTTAACCCTTGCTCCACTGGATGCTGAGCCCCATTACGGGCCAATCCACCTGGCCAGATCTAATCGCAATACAGGATTCGTCCGCTACGGAAACGCCCGTCATCTATCGGGACTTGCGTGTGTTATCAGCAACGCCGGTCCGGGCGCGCAGCGCATGTATGTTGGTCAACAGCATGCAGATGAGCAGTGGACCGATGTTTTACATCCCAACATGAAACCTGTCATTATCAACAAGACTGGCTATGGAAATTTCGGTGTCCAGGGGATGAGTGCTAGTGTCTGGGTTAATTCAGCTGCAGTGGACCGGGATAATCTCAAGAGGGACTTGTACGCTCCCAGCCTCCTTTTGCCCGGATTTTGCCTTTGCTAGGATGATGACTAACCCATTTGTGCTAGTAACGTCAACATCTACGATAACTAATCTTGTTGGGGGCGCAAGGTCGGCTTCTCCGACGCGAAAATTATGTATAAAAGTTGGGATAAATCCTATACGTTGTAACTTTTTTTATTTTGGCACTAAATCCCATTAGCCTCGGAAAATTTCCCTTTGCAAAAGTACTAAATCGGATCTAATTTCCCCGTACTCCGTACTCCGTACTTGACCGCTATTCAAATGTATGTGGAAATGGCACCATTTTTGTCGGGTAACGTGATGACGGTTTTTGGTGAGACACTCATTTAATTACTTCAAGGTGCTCCCACTTCTGGTTGATTGTATACTCCGTAGTCTGAAGCCCTCTCAAGAGATGTCTCAATCCTGAAATTAGTCTGTGTATGGGTGGGTCGTTTGTTGAGACACCAAACGGTGTGCTCGCAGAACATTTTCGAGTTCATTTTGAGACATCAAAATAACATGTTGGGTGCGGAGTGCGGAGGAGCACGGAGCGTAATGGCCCCTTTAAAGGATTCCTACTCCGGGGGCTGTGCCGAAATTTGTGGCGAGCCAACCCCGAGCTAACCGGTGAAAAACAAAAACACGGGCGTTCAAGGGTCCAAGTTGCATTTCAGATTAAATGGGCTGGTAAATTACCGCAGAATTTGCAACTCAAAAATACTGGTATCAAAGCGTTTCTAAACCCGTGGACAATGAATTTTTTTTTTAAAAAAAAATAAAAACGTAATAAAAGAAATTTTTAATTTCGATGTTGCATCGTGCAGTTCGTGTTTTAACTCTGCCAAGACCGGTTAAATTACCACTAGTGTCTTGCCAAGCTCGACTAGCGTCTTCTTTATCGGCCCTATCGGTGGACAACATCCATGGGTTCGGTATCCATACCCGTGGACGGCTACCTCCGCGTGTACGAAGTACAAGAATAACGAACAAGTCTTTCGGCATGTTCGCAATGGGACTGCCAACAAATTATGGAGTATGGGGTCTAATTAAAAATGGAAGATGGGATTTGCGCCTGAAGCTAGCTCGTCGACGAACCATGAAGGTCAATGTACTCCGTGCTCCCACATGGAACCTAGCTCAGACCCTGAATTCCCACGTTCGGTAATAAAAAGGGGGGGAATATTATTAGAATGCTCCAAAACCGGGTACCTCGCTATGTCAGTTCTATTTTCAGGTATAATTCCGTATTGGTAGGTGGGTGTCAGAGACATTGTTGACGGTTCAGCGCATCCAAGGTTGTGAAAGATCAGATGGAGTGTTTGGTCATCCTACTTAATGACAAGGATTCTTGAATTTTCCAACTTCCATCCTTCCTCTCGCATCTCACTCTCCCTTAAAACGCTCCAACGTTCATTCGTTTTTTAAAGGACTTCTCCGCACACTCGCTTAGAATCAGTCAAGATGCGTTTCTCCACCATTCTGTCTCTTCTGCCCCTGGCCCTCTCCGTTGCGGGTATGTAAATCACCCTGTGTCACAAGTGTCTCTCTAATCATCAATCCAGCCATCAACGTCACCGAGCCCGCCAAGGGTGCCGAGGTCGATGTCTCCGGCTCTTTCACCGTGAAGTGGAATTCCGTTGAGTATGTAAACCATCATACCCCATACCGTACCCTGGCGACAACAGTCAAGACTAACCCCTTCCAGTACCGATGCTTCCACCGTTGACATTGTGCTCGTCAACAATGCCGTGTTCCCTACCGTCTCGGAGAAGATTGCCTCCGGCGTGGACACCTCCAAGGGCAGCTACGATGCCTCCGGCCTGAAGGGTATCACCAGCGGGTAAGATCACCTTTGCGACGCGACGATTCTGTCTCTATGCAGTTCACTAACACTCCGCGCGCACTGTAGCCCCGGTTTCCAGATCAACCTGCTTTCCACCGATGCCAAGAACACCGGCATCCTCGCCCAGTCCCAGCAGTTCGATGTGACCGAGTCCAAGAGCTCCTCCGCTACTACTACTGGTACATCTTCCACTGTCTCTTCCTCTTCTACTTCCTCTACCTCTGTTGTCTCTTCCGAGACCTCTTCCACTGCTTCCACCTCCACTGGTGCCACCACCACTGAGACCGATGCTTCCACTACTGGTACTTCCACCCCGGACGTGTCTATCAAACCCTCTATCCCCGGACCCCTGACTTCTGGCTCCCTCACTACTACCCCCCCTGGCAAAAACAGCGCTGATTTCTCTACCCGTACAGCTACCGGTTCTTCTACCACCTCTACCGGAACTTCCACTGCCACCAAGACCTCCACCAAGACCGGTCTGACCACCAGCGCTTCCTCCACCGGCACCGCTACTGGCTCTGCCGCCGCCTCCGCCACTGCCTCCACCGGCGCTGCTATGGGTCTCGTTGCTCCCGGTGCCGCTGCTGGTCTTCTGGCTGGTGTCCTCGCTTTCCTGTAAATTTTCACTTGAAGATTGGCTGCTGTGCCGAGCTTGGGTACATTCCTAGGTTTGGCACTGTTTCAGCTTCAAGGTGAGGTGAGTTGAGAATTTATTTCTGAGAATTGGGTAATTCGTGGAGGAATGGTAATGAATGGATGGATTTCTTCGTTTTTTTTTTCTTTTTTTTTTTGCAGGTGCTTAGTCGGCCTTTCGAGGTTTCATCTATTGATGTAGACTAGGTATGTAATCGGACGATGAATGCATGGGCTTGCTTTTTTTTTTTTTTGACTTTGTTCACTTCATTTGTATGATACTCCATAATTTCACCCAGGTCTCTGTCTATTGTCGTGCTTGATGTCATAGCCTTGGAGGTGTTGTCTCTAAAATTCACCCGAAGCCCGCTTCCTTCACTTTTGTACGCCATCATTTCCCATCGCTTTCACTCCCCTGTCATACGAGTTTGGGGCATTTGAGATTCAAGTATTAGATTCTTCTCTAATAACTCCATACGCAGATATGTGCTATAGCAAGAGATCGAAACGCCTCTTCCGCACGAATAAATGGCATGCACAAAATGGGACTACCAGACCCGTTACGTCCATCCGCTTCCTCCGTCACTAGGATCTAGCATGAGCACCGGTGGTATGTGAGCATTTTGACTGATGTTTCCAGCTCAACTCAGTGAAATCGAAATTCCGATATGCAAACCCCTTGCGAATCAACTCTAGCCTGTGATGCCCGATTCGATACTATGTCTGCATAACGTCAGGACTTGGAACTATAATGACCACGGGGTCTTGAAAGCAACGACCACTCGAAAACTCGACAAGCCTTTCTGGTGGTATATCATAATCCAACCGCGCCGGATGCTATGCTAGTATCTTAGGCTTGAAGAGAATATGGTTATAGAGCAAATATCTGATGAGATGAACTTCGACCACACGTATCCTATTAATTGATTGATGTGTACAGGCGACGGATTCTACCACCGGTGGCTTGAGTTACATTGGATATAATTGTAGGCAAACTATTAGCTAAGGGCTTGCGTTCCGGGGCGCCAAGGCCACTCTACTTACCTATGTAGGCATGGAGGTACTAGTAGTTATTTAACTGTACCACCTGTTGATGGATGTATGTACGTTGTATCCAGGAAGAAAAACTACTCTATTATCATACAATACTAGAATGGCTGCGTAGCATACTTCGTCGCCCGTAAATGTATACTCCGTAGGAAGCAACTTGTAGGTTGATTTTATGCACACTAAGGCTTCATCACGCAGTACGCTCTGTACCCTGTAACAGAAACTGTCAAAGTTCATTATTAATCGTGTGCAATGACAGGATATAGCCTGCAGAACTTGTCGCACTGCCACTATCAGTCGTATGCCTTAATCATAGGAAAGGCCATATGCGTCGTACTCTTGCCTATTTTCTGGATCCAATTCCAAGTTTGTCAGAAAGGAGACATCGTCCTGCGGCAATTGCTTGGAGAGAATGTTTTCCTTCTGACGCAGTAAGATGCAACTTCTAACTATCGGTATTATAGATCGTTGAGCGGGCCAGCTAAGCAAGACATGGACATCAATCAAGCCATCATTAGTTACAACCCGTTCGACTGTTTAATCTTTCAACAAAGTCGTCCCGTCCTGTAAGATGCAAAGCAAATGGCTCAAGCGGAAAGACCCCAACTTCGCATTTGGAGGGTTCAAATGGACTGTATGCCCTGAACCAGGAAGTTGTACTTGTGTAGTTGTTCAAGCAGTTGCTGATTGGGAAACCAGGGGTGACACTCGGTTTGGTTGCATGAAAATGGGACTTCGTCGTCCATGTCAGTCTGAGCACAGTGGATCTCTTGCACACATTCAAAGTTGAAGTTCGAAACTCCAACCAATCGAGTCTTTCCATGGCGAATAAAGGCCTTCATCGCATTCCATGTCAGGACAATACTTCCTTCGCTCCCAATTGAGTGCAGCGACTGCTGCTGGACAATGTTCCAGGTCTGAAATGACATTGCCCTTGTCGTCGGCCGCATAGCCCTAGTCCTATATGGTCGCATTTTCACCCATCCACACCTCACAGAGATCCCCGGCCGATTTGATCGTGACAGGGTGGTGGATCAAGGACGATCGACAAACCCAATACCCATTTGCTGGAGAGCCAGGTCCAACGCCATCTTCACCTTCTCGGGAGCACAGAAGTTGGCCCACCGCTTGTGGGTGGCGAATGGCTCGTTGCGTAGGATGCCAGACTGGCGAATCCCCTCGCCAACCTCGACATCTACCTACGGAGGTAACCTCGTCAGATCAGGGAATAGTGCAAATTCAAGCGAAGACGGCATACGTGGTATTCCCATGCACAGTTGAGGTGACAACATCCGGCTTGAATGACTATGCGGATGGTCTAGATTCTTTGCTGCGAATCGCCCTTGAAAAGACAGTAGTTAGCCAAGGTTCAAGCAAAACTGAATTGAAACCGTTTTCCCTACCGGTCGAACTACAAGCCTCTGGGTTAAAAGTACCAAATGCAGGCGAGGGGACATGCCTCTGCGTGTGGCTTCTGATATTCATTGACAACGATTTGAACGTCCTGGTGTGCATGTCTTCAGGGTTAGTCAGTAGGCGAAGAGGGCGCTAATTCCTGCTAACAAATTGCACTGGGATAGACTTTGGGCGAGAAAGTAAGGGGAAAAGGCTCTTTGAAGCCCTAAACATCAGAGTTGGAGAAGATATACAGAAGCAATATTACACTCAGACTCCGGCCAGTAGAATCATCTATTCGGCATTCAATTCCACCACACTGTTTTCAAGATAGCCAACGCCTTGTGCACATTGGCTATATATTCTTCGATATCATCTCGACCGTAAGACCTCATCGCAAGCATTCAAGGCCTGTGCTCCTAATGCTCCGGTTCTTCGTGTTGAGTCTGTCGTGGAGCTTCCATCAAGAATGGCAGGGAAGTACGATTGAATGAAGCTTGAACAGCTACGAGAAGATGATGTGCCGTGCGTAAGAGTCGACTAAAACTCAAGTGGAAACGCTGACTCTCTGGGAACCTGTCTGGGGCAGCTCTGGCTCGAGATATCCAGAGGACCGCCTGCATTCTTCGGATGACTTCTTCCATATGGGCGGAACCTCACTGCAAGTCGCATATCTAATCCACCGAAATCGATTCTTTGCTAGGAATTGGGCTGCGGCTTCAGGCAATCTTTGAAGGACCTGATGCAATTTAGTTTCTAATATGAATGTGATTTATACACCCAGGTCTCTACATCTTTAAATGTCAACCAATCCTCAGTGCCTAGATTCTCTATACTCTAGCTTTCTATACTTCTATTCTCTATGTTTAAATTTCCAACTCGTGCAGGCATTAACTACATACATCTTTTACATCTTTTTCACAGCCTATATAGTTTGTTTCGTGGGGGTAAAATCTGAAGAAAAAAGAGAATTCAAAGATTATCGGGACAACTCGTTATGTCAAGAACCACAATTACAGCCTGAATGCAAGTAGTGGCTATCTTCTACATGTACATTTCATTCAATACACCCATTGAACCAACCTGGATCCCGCGCCCAGAGGTGGGATATTTCATTTCAAATCATCCAACACATAATCATCACCATACGTGCAGAGAGGTATAGTTCAAAGCCAAATCAAAAGACCCCAACCCCAGCCCAATGAAATCCATGCTTCTTTTGAGAAAAATAAAATCCCCCCTTAGTCCAAATGCATTCTCCAAAGCCCATCACCAAGATAGTGGCCTTCATCAATAACAACTCCCTTCCCTTTACTCTTGATCTCCTCAGTGCCAACCTTCAGCATACCAATCATGCAAATCTCCTCCTTCCCCTCGGCCTTGACACCAACGATCTGCCCAGCCTCAAGCGCATGCTCGGCATCGGGTAGACGCCCCCCGGGAGAGGTAAGACCGGGAGCCATCAGCGTTGCGCCGGAGAGTACAAAGCGGATGGCGCCGCGGTCGATCTGGACTGTCGGGACGGCAGAGGGGTATGCGTGGATAAGGCGAAGGTGGGGGACTGGGGGTCCGTCAATGGGTTGGAAGAAGAGGGGGGTTGAGTCTATTGTGTAGAGGGTCACGCGATCGGGTCTAGGGTGGTGGATTTTGTTAGCTTTGGGGGCACCGGAATACGATGCATAGAACGTTCATGTCGAAGGTCGGAGCTGACGTTGGTGGAATGGCAAGGCAAACAAAGGGGGGAACGGGAACGATACAGTTTCACGGCTTCCAATGAGGCCTTCTTGGGCATGAAATCTTCAATAAAGGGCTCCAAGCCGGGGTATGTCTCCAGCAGCTTTTGGCGCAGGCCACGCTGCACTGAGGACTTCACTTTAGACCGGTTGCTTGGGGGAATGCTAGACAGCACACGGATGTTAGCTGGTGTCTTTGATAAAGTTTGGTTGCAAGAGCTATTCCATAGAAACCGTGTGGGGTTTGATCTGGAATGTTGGACAGCTCTGCGGTCTTTGCGGTGCCTCAAAACGAAAGGGAGATATGTCCCATTTGGCAGGCATGGGGTTCTGATCAAGCCACCAGACCATCCATAGGGTTTTCTGTAGGTTGATTGAAGGGTAAGACTCACTCTTTCTTAAACATGATGCTGGTTGAGGATGTGATATTATGAGAATCAAGCTCTTGGTACGCAAGTGGGATGCGCGGGGATTTGGTCACGTGACTGAAAGAGTGCTTTGCATTTTTTTTAATTCAAAGCTGAACGGTCCGAATAGAACAAATTGGATGATCTTGCCCTTGGGATATGACCCATGATGGACTGATATCCATATCTCACGGCAACTAAACCATTCTCACGAGGATGACGCGGCATAATCCTGGAGCAAAGCAAACTTGTTGAACATGGCGAATACCAAGGAGCGAACGATGATGATTCGCATCAGTCCAGTCAGATTGTTTGGCATGAGATAAATTTAGATTTACAAGTGGAAATTTATGAAGGCTGAACACTGGCGTATCATTTAGAGAAGATACTACTGTCTATGT